TCACTTTATTTAATGCAAAGGCGGAGAGTGACCTTTGTAATTGAAAAGAAGGCGCAATAGTACTTTCTAATCCTATCATTTTCTTTGATCTTTTATTCATTAAAAATTCAATAAAAAGAAGAAAGAGGTATATAAATAGGTGTGTGGTGCTAGCAACGCACGGTAATTCAATCTATATTTATAATGGATGTCAATAAATAATCACAACTCGTACCATCCAAATATTTCCAGTTCTCTTGTATATAATAGTTGTGCTTGCTGAAAGTCAGTATATACAGGTATCGATTCAATTAATTACCTTAATCAATTACAATCCTGCTCATTCTAATCATTGTGTCGTTGATAGACCCATCGCTGACATCAATAGTAAGCTGTTTGTTGATTTCATTCGAAATTTAAGATTTAAATGTCCCAAGACCGATTGTTGCAAAAACTGCACTGTTATGACAGCTAAACCATGGAAATATTTGGTGAAAATATCCTCTAGAAATGAGTGCCTTTCACTATCCAATGTAAGATGATGATGAGTGGGCAATATAAATACATCGATAACTTTAACTTCATAAATATTGTATTTACTTACCTTATATGGTTTCTGATATTATTCCTGTGGTGTTCGTACTATCAAACGTACTCAGTTCTAACCCACTGTTATGACAGCTAAACCACTGGTATTTTAAAACGATTGCAAATACAAAGTTGCTTTCATTTCTCAAACATGCCAACTATCATAATTTGTATGACAGTTCCCTATCATTCTGCAAAAGAATAATCCACTTGGCAAAGATATTAAAGTGTGAAGGCATTCAGTCAAGCTATTAGTTGATATCGTGTGTGTGTGCATGTGTGCGCGTATATACTACCGGTCTAAAGAAAAGATTTACTATTGGTCAGACCTAGAATTTCATTGTAATGTTTACACATATCATTGGAAGAGTCTATTTTCACCTGTTGAATTTTTCAATTTTTCAGATCTCTAAATTATAATTGTAATAGCAGTGTGGAGTATGACGTTCCCATAAAACTCGTTCATGAAACTCGTTCATTTTTAGCGATGCTTACTCGTACAGGCGGTACTTGCTGTCGCGGAGAGTTCAGATACGCTGAAAATAGTCAAAGATTCTGTGTCCCTATTCAGGAAGTATACGGATGAATTGTCGATGTTCTTGGCCAGATAGGCCGATTACTCCTTCAATGGCATCCTTTTCATGCCCACACACAATTGACCATCCAACCATCTCCATGCGACAACTGCAAGGCTCAACTCCTACACATACGCGCTGTACTTTGTTAGTTTTTATTTTTTAAAATATATTTAATAGCTAAAACTCTCTCCTCGTAGATATCACGAGAAAAAAGGGCAATGTCATTACGTTTTCTTGGAGACTTTTTTGAGAAATGAGAAGAACGGAATGATTGGAACATTAAAAGAGTCAGCGGATGTGTAACTTTCAGCATGTGATGCATAATTTTTTACATTGCTTAATTGTTCATTGTTTTCTAATTTTTCTTTTTTTGATATTTGCTTTATTTTTTCAGTTGCTCCAATGTAAAAAACTATGCTGCAGGCGGAAAAGTCGCTCAACATTTCATTGAATCAACGAAAGGTTTCTCTTATCATTGCTAACTACGATATCAGATCTCTCAACTAACTGATGTTGCTATAGAGCGAATCAAGCGAGATTGTCTCAAAAATATCAGGATTCATTATAGGTACTTTCGGTAGTATCGAAGCAGTTTTAACTGCTGTAAATTCTATTGCTGATATGCTCAATGCTACCCATCGTGCAGTTTTTAGTTCCTTCCAAGCTGTAATTGGTGCGTTGGACGAGTTTGCAAAGTTGAAAACGCAGGTGCATAAAGTCGTCACACTAAACTTTTCATTAAAACAATTTCATATTGCATGTTTAAATGAATTTTAATAGATCTAATGTCATGTGTTGTAAGGATTAACTTTTGACAGTTCGAAAAATTGGTATTCAGGAAGATTTTTCGCTAGAAATTATTAATTTTTTTTCATCTATTTTCGCACAAAGGTATCAAACATCGTTAATATTAGGGGGATCAGCAATACAACGTTCATTCAGTAATATTTGAGCTTTAGATACATTGTTTGTTGGCTTCAACGGCACTGTTGAAATGGTTACGATATATATGGCGACTTTTGCTGAGATGTTTAAGGTTGAGAAGTAATGAAGAGAGTGAAATGGAAGAAGTATGGATGGGAGTTCGGAAAAATTCAGGTATGATCAAATCTGTATATTGCAAAATACATATATGTTTCTGTTGCTTATGATTTTCATTGATCCTATAAAGAGAAAAGGACAAACTTTTTCGAAATAACTCATCAAATAATTTTGTCTTTTAGTTCTAGAATGGATATATATTTCATTATTAAATCTTACCGATTTTCTTGTAAACTTTCTGCAGTTTATCATAAAAACTTCCATTGAGAGTGAATTCAGGCACATTCGCTACAGAGGAAACACCATCGCAGTTGGTTTCTTTCAATCCATTTCGTTGGTTACCTTCATTGATATTCTGGTTAATCGCAGTAGGTGTGCCTTATTTGATGTATCAATCACTTGGAGCAATGACGGATGAGTCAATGAAATGGACAACTGGAAAGGCTGGTTATTACGAAGCACTGGTAAGTGCTTAGGGATCGACAGGATCGATTCATATTGTTGTAGTACTATATGATTGCATTTAACAGCGATGATAATTTTAATTTTTAGGCGACAGAGGATCATGATATTGAGGAAAACGATCAAATATCATTTAAACGTGGTGATATTTTGCGAGTTGCACCCAAAGAATATCAGCCGCGAAGGCTTGGTTACATTTTGGCATGGTAACTTGTTTTGGAGAAAGTTCAGCTATCTTTTCCAACTAATTCTATCTTTCGTTAATTCTTTCAGTTATATCAATTACCCTTCAATGAAGAACAATAATTTAAGGACCGAATCTCATAAGATTTAGCACATTATTATAAACTTTATAACTTCATCTGCAAAGACTTATTCAGTGTTTCATGTTAATATGAATACTTTTTTAAATACTTGAATACTCCAACAACTCTTTCAGCTCAATAGATGGTAAGAAGGTGGGATTGGTCCCAATTAAGAAAATTCAGTTGACAAAACGAGTCGTCGAGTCATCCGTCTTCACTGGACAAGATGCCGTTCAATTATTTGACGCTGCGCACGCTTCTGAAAACGATTTGTGTGATTGAGACCAATCTTTTCATTATTTTCAAAACTCCAATCTGATTACGTAATCTTACCGTATATATTCAAATTTTTTAAGAATATTTTAAATTATTGATATGCTTATACTTTAATTCTTCGTTTCTTAATTCTCAGAACTTCACAGTTTTCCTGAGCGAATATCTTCAAGTTGTTGTTGAGCTGTATAAGCAGCCTTCTTCTTGGGGATATTACTTAATAAAGCGAAGTTCTATTCCGAAATTACTTCACTGTAATATTTGTATGCTTTCTGTGTCTTGCTGAAGACACAATTATCAATTACAGCACTGCTGCTACTTCCTTATTAATCCGGAAATGCCTTGTCGTGATTGATCTTTTTATTTCTGTCTTCTAGTTTAGTTGAAATTTCCTACGAAGTTTCCACATAGACCTCGTTATACTAGAAAAAAAATCATTTATTGCTGCAGTTCGTTACATTTCAACTTCTACCTTTGCTCAACATATTTCCCTACATTCACCTATTTTTATCATATACTAATTTTAAATAGAAGAAAATTCGAGGATAATTTTTAATTACGCAGAAATTGTGCTTTCTGTACATATGTCGTCCCAGTTCCGCTTTTCTGTATTTTTCAATATTTGCCTTCAAGAGCGCTCTTTTTTTTCACATAAATTTTTATATAAATTATTTGATTAGTACAGGGTAAAAGAAATTTATGCTGTTCTATTAGAGCAAGGAGAAACAACATTGTTATACCTAAATGTAAGTATTTTTTACCCATATTTTTTGAACTTATAATATGGAACGATGAAAAAGAAAAGCTTTTGAGGATAAAAATAAACTGTATAGATACAAATAAAATAACTGGAAAAGTAGATTCATCTATACACAAAAAGTTAATTCAAAGGGAAAATTTTATACATTCAAAAAGTGAAATATGAATTTACAGTAATGAAAAAGCCTGTGGAAGTGTTTTACGTATATATGTATTAATTCTAAAAATACAGCAGTTCTTACTGGTTCATATTTCTAATCCATGTGGCAAGCTTTGGAATTGAAAACGATCGAAAGATGGTGTAAGCATCAGCAATAATGAAGAAGAGAAAGTGGTACATGCGGTAGAAAACAATTAATGAGATCCGAGTAATAGTGTACAATGTAGTACGAGAAACAAGATGACATCAACGGCAAAAAATATTGGGAAATCATCGAAGTACTAGCTGTATATTGTTGAATGTTTTGGAACATAACTGCTGGATCAATACAGCGTTGTTCTCATTGGCTTCAGGTGATGAATCTGGCGGTGAAGACGTATTTGAACTGATATGCCTATAGCAAAAAGTGGATTGCCTATGGTAACATATTATTTTTAGCTTTTCTTAACACTACTCTTTGAAAATGTTCTTACAATTTTACTTTTCTTACCGAATGATGTATTTGCTGGAAGGATTGTTGGTACAACAGCAAATGTAATAGCATGAAAGTAACAACTGCGGTAAGTTCTCATTCAATGAAATTATTGCGCAATTTTAGTTTTAAGAAATTAATTATTTCACAAAGGAGCATCGGATAAAAATTAATTACGAGCTAACAACGATAAAAAATGAAAAGAAAAGCCGATGAAAGAGAAAAGCAAGAAACCTGTGTAGAATAACATTTTTATCGTTACGTTTATCTTTGGCTCGACGATTCTGAAACCATGTTTTCACCTGGCTCTCATTTAAACCTAATGAACGAGCAATTAGCAGACGTCTACTTCGTGGCACATATTGATCTGTGAGGTATTCCTGGAAAAAATATCAAAATAAGCAAGACAAATGATTGTTCCAGAATTTTCACTAACAATTTTACAAACATAGAACAAGATCTTCACAAATTATTTTGTTTCTTTTTTACAAAAATACCATGCTTTTCCGAAAATAAAACGAAATAAGTAAACTTGTAGTAAAGTAAATTCTGGCAAGTAAAATTCTTTCAATTTCAAAATAATTTCAGTTGGTCGTTAGGATTATTATTGCATTTCATATCATTATTATAAAGTGATTTATGATTTCATTGCACTGATATAATTATTATTCATATGGTAATATTATTTGCAGTGATAAATTCGTACTTTTATAGATCAAAAATTATAGCTTTGTTATTTATTAACAACATTCAGCTGTAAAATGATCATTCTAAAAAAGAATTTCAGCTGTAATTTAATTCTTTCGTAACAATACTTTGAAGAAAAGGAGAGGGAGAGAGAAAAAAAGAAAAAAATGAGTAAACATTGTGTAGGAGTTTCATATGCTTCAAATATATTTTGTGAGCATTTCTTGATTTTCCACAAATTATCCATTTTAAATTTTTTTAATTTCAAAACTTTTCATCTTTGGAGTAACATCTGCTGGAACATACTTGTTGATTTCTTTTTCTTTGTCCGCATTCTTCTAATACAACAATAAAGATTCATACATATTGCATAGTCATATATATATATATATAGTAATTAATATACAGCAATTAATTTAACAGCCTAATTTTATATACATTCGCCAAAAAATTATGAGAGATTGATAAATTATGTACTAATATAAGAATGTAATTAACCTTTTCCAATGTATCCGCTTGAACAGATGTAAAAGTTGTCCTCTGTCGTCGCCTTGTCGTTGCATTTACATTTACGGATCCGATTGATTTGTCAAGGCCTGTTGTTACGTACATAGTAGTATCATCACTATAATTTCATATAGTATTACCAAAAAATTACAATAATTTAAGGTAAAAGAATGAATAAATTTTAAAAATGAAGAGAAAGAAATTAATTGAGGATAGAAAAGAAAAAGTAATAATCTTTAAAATATATTAAACATTGTTAGATTATTACAAATATTCTTTTGATTAAAGACTAAATTTTTCATCTCATTTATATAGAGATATAACAAAATAATGTAATATTTAAAAGTAATGAATGTTTAAATCAAAAATCATATGTATGCCATTTCTCATCAATCTTTCCTTCAACCATTTGTTATTGCATTCATTCAATTTCATATTTCTCAAAGACCTTCCTTTCTTTTCATGGTATGTAATTTAAAACACGAATAAGTGGTCCTAATAATGACAGATGTCGTCACTTTCGTTTGGCAAATTAAAAAGATGCGACAAACGTTGCAATATGTTGCATTATATGATAAGGTTTGATAGAATATAAAATTAATTCAATAAATGATTGTGAAACACTAATTACTGCAAACATTTTTACAAATAATATCTTAATAGCTTGCTTTCTTTATTGAAAAAAAAAAAATAATATATGATCAGTTTGAAATTTCAACAACTACCTCTAATGAATTATGCAATCACTAATAATAATATTATGCTGACAATAATTATTATAAAATAATTATTATAAAATAGCCTTAATATTCCCATTCAAATAAATAATGAATGGTGCGTTCCCGTGATTAAAAGAAAGACAAGTGGTAACAATTATCTATAGTCATGATAATAATGATAATAAAAGTAAAGTAGATAATAATGATAATTCAGAGAAATAAGAATGACCTTGTTGTATTATCGACAGTTTGACTAGCAAGTCGTAAATATGGTTTGAATGCCGAAAATGACGGATGACCAATTGTTATTGACGCTGCCATCAATATGTGTATATATTCTCGCCACTATTCGTCAAACAGTTATATTAATATTATTATTATTATTATTACTATTATTATTATTACTGTTATTATCATTATTGCTATTGTTATTATTATTATGGAATGTGTTCTTATTCGATAGTATCCAAAAATGGTCAAAAAAAGTAAAAAAAAAACTTTAAAATTCACTAATTAGTACAATCAACACGGCTAAAATTCAATAGCGATACATGTAAGTAAAAAGAATAACACAAAGTGAAGAGGAATAATTATTATCACAATTATGAAATTCGTTAATGAAGTCAACAACCTCCTGATGATTACGAAGTGTTACAATTTAATGAAATGGCGATATGTTAGATGATTGAGAGGCGCTGTCATCAGCAATGAGAGGAAAGCATTAACACGATTTTCTTCACCTCCTGATGTATCCCACTGAACTATATTTATTTATACAATTATCATTACATTTGTGCAACACTTGCCTTATCTCAGGGGGTCTTACAATCTTAGCGTTATTGAAAAATTAGGCTAATTAATAGAATTAATATTTTATTCATTATTACCTTTCTATATTATCATTTTATACTATTAAGGTTTATTGCGAAAAAAAAATTTATTAAATCAAATAATTGCAAAAAAAAGGTTTTTTTAAAATTAAAAAATAGATTTGTGGAAAATATTTTACTCATCGAATAATCTCTCTTTCTCTCTCTCTGTCTCTCTCTCTCTCTCTCTCATCTATATGAAATGAAAAATTGAATAACAAAATGAAAAGTACTTTCTTTTAAGTAATAAAATCCACTGATACATACATTCCCCTTATCAAACAAACTAATTTATCATTTGTGACAGCCGTGAATGATTAATTTTTTTATTTCTTAACAATTATGTTTAAAGAAGTGATAAGAATTATGAGAATTTAATAACATATGCAATCAATTTATTATTCGATCAAAATAATCTCCCCACATATTTTAGCTTAGAAATAAATCAAATAAAATTAAATTTGCAAAATTTATAACTTATAAGATTCTGAATATTACTCTTCTAAATTATTTAATGTATACAGTAAATTTGAAAACATTTAGCTAAGTAAAAGATAAAAGTAATTATAGGACATTTGTCCATCTAACATATAACAGAACAGTATTTGTTAACTTCTGAAATGTAAATAAAACAGTTGCAATATTCGATTATTCAAGTGGCGTACATCGTACACTCATCATTCTTTTCTATCTCTAACTTTCGATAGATACAGAAGGCAATTTTGAGATAGATAAATTAGCAAAAAATTTGTCTAAATAGATATGCATTGTCTTATTATGATCGATGAAAGTTTATTGAAATATTCACAATAATCCCAATCCATTCCGATCGTTATCATTGAGTAACAAAAGTTTTCTAGATTGCATGCATACTAATTGCATGCATATCGCGCAAAAACTTCTTGCAATAATTATCAATTTACTTTTTTCTACTTCATTTTATAAAATTTCCAAAAAACAGCCAGACAGCAATTTATAATTAATTTTTACAATAATAACTCATAATTAAGGAACCATCTTATCATATAATAAGATTAATTAGCATCATCAAATACATATATATGTATGAATTGTAATATTTGACTATTTGTACAAAAAGAATTGTGTTCTCAAAAATGATCGGTTAGTTTTTTATTGTCAAAATTGAAGCTAAGATAAGATGAATTTGTTGAAGTAACTAAAAAATAAATGTAACATATAACTGTATGAATTGAAAATTTCATTTACCTCAATTTTTTTTTTGTGATGAGATTAATTAACTCCACCGAATACATACATATATACAAAATTCATTAACCTGTTAAACAAATCGACAACAACTTCATAGGGTGGTAAATGAGGAGAAAGCAAATGTTCCAATATTACGATTTGAGCATCTAATTAAATTCCTAAGTTCAGACTGGATCTTAATTCTGAACAATAAACAAAAACATTTTTAAAATTAGCAAATTTAGAATGCGCTTGATATTATAATCAAATGGTTATCCGATTATCATTTACTGCGGAATATTTCCCGACTATGGCATCAATAAGTTTTGGGGAATAAATTAAATTAAAACAAGCAAACAATGAAGTTATTTTGACTATACAAATGTCTTATCCTCCATTTTCGATATATTTTCCACAGTATATTTTTTTACTTATACATCTTTATTTTTGATAATAACATAATTTGTCTCTTGAAACCATTGATAAATTATCATTACAATTTTATAAACTATTCTAACAAAAACAAAAGAACATCTTTGAAATGATTAAACAACCTTTCTGATCATTATTTATTTTATGATAATTGTAATTGCAATGGTCATTGAAAGGCATAAATTGTATATAGTTTATTAGTTGATGACATTAGGTGTACTTTAAGTGATAATGAAAACAAGTTCGTCAAGAGACTAATAATGGTTCGCAATAAATAGCGGTAATGATGGAGAGGATAAATTGATGAGAACGATTGACTGAAAATATGGAAAGAACAAATAGAAGTAACATTGATTAGAAGTTGATTGGAATGCAAATAAAAGTAAGAGGCTGGAAAGTATTGAAAACCAAATATGAGCTTAAGTGATTAATTATTTAGTCAAACTAAAATAAAATTTTTTTTTAAATTCTCATTTTAATTATTATAACTGTATAATGTTTTTAGCTTTCAGCTTTTGCAACAAAGTTTATAATGTAAACCATAAGGTGACATAACATAAAATAAATTTAGTAGCACTTCAATTGATGTTATGATCTGCTGATTGATGATTGATTAGATATCATGCAAATAGTAATTAATACGTAATCCATCCAAGAAAAAGTTTGAAACAAGCTTATAATTAAGTGATTTATTAAAAATGAAAAAGAAACAAAGTGGAAACATATTTAAAAGGGATAGTTAATCAATCAATCATTCAGACAGCAACGAAAAAAGCTTAACCTTTGCTACCTCAATTTAAAAAATTAAATTTAAAAATTCCTTTACAAAATGAACCACAAAAAAATGTGAATTATTTATGCATCTTTAAAAATTATCACATTCATTTTTAATTTTTGATTTATTAGTGATATTTTGAATGATCGCCAAATCTCAAAATTTATGAGAAGTGACAAATTCTGTGAATAATGAATGAATGATTAATTTAGTAAATTTATCATTTTAAATTTTCAGTATTATTTCTTTCTTTGAATAAATATGGAAAATTGAAAGATATCATCGAATGATAACAACTGATAACTTCTATCCTTTCATTTTATTCATTTACAGATAGCTTAAAGTATAGTTTTTTTCTTAAGACAAAAAAGATCAATGAAAAGAATATGTTTTTTAGAAATGTAGGAAATAGAAGAAAATGTGAAAAGTCACAAAATTATTTTTTCCTTCAAATTCATTTACATTTAATGCAAGAAATAACCGAATACTTCAATGAATATGCTGAATACGGCAGATAAATAAAGCCGATTATAGCATCATTTCAATTCATCAACGCATTCATTTGACAGTTCGGGTCATTATTGCCTGACCACACTATAACATAGCTTCCAGCTTCCACAAGTGTTTCTATACGTATCCAAACATTGTTAAATCATTTGAAATGTTTTGGATAGATTGTCTGAGAATGATTTAAAAGATTAGAAAAAAGAGAAATATTTTTTTCTTCTATTATTTAAAATAAAACGAACTAATTGAATTGAAATTTCATTGACAGCTTTAGAAGATAAGAACTCAATTGTGGCAAAAATGCAAATGAGATACACTTTCTTCATTTCATCTAACATTACTAAATGCATTGCAAAAGATTAAGCTTCCATAAAATGATGAAACTTTTCAAAAGGTACTTCTTCAAGAAATGTAATGTTTTCAGGGTTACTTTAAAATAAAGTAAATTAGTCTAATTCAAAGAAAACTAATGAAAACGTCGAATTATTATAGCAACACATAAAACTGTGATTGAATCATTTCCATAATATTGCAAGTTGCGTTAACGATGAAAAGAAATTTTGATTATTTTATTAAAAGGTAGTTGTAATATTTCATGAGAAAATAAGCTCCTAAATTTTTAATTGAAATAACAGTGAAACATTCAAGAAGATCTTTGAATTCCGAAATATTTCAACAATACTTCTCAATTTCAGAAAATCAGAGAAATATAATAGATAAGATGCCGTCTTAATAGAAAATTAATTACAATTTATTTTTGAGTAATTTTTGAGCAAATTATTTGTCGACATTTTACAGTTAAAATAAAAGAAAGAAATATTTGAATTATCAGCCAAAATTATTTTCCATTATTTTATTATGATATAGTTATGCAATTAATTAATTTCCTCAAATGAATTACTTTACGTCTACCTTTCATTTTTATATTTGTAATTTAAAATAATTTTACAAATGCTACCTTTACCTTTATTAGTAGAATAATGAATGAAACTCATTGCAATTCAATAATTTTAACTTTAATTTTCGCACTATTTGATATTTTGAAATAAAAGAAGTTAGAAAAAATTAATAGCATGAAAAACAATAATTGGTACGACAACGAATAATAATTAAAATTAATCAAAATGACTGAGGGAATGCAATTAATTACACTTTTACTTCACCATTTTAAAGAGGGAAATACGGCAAATTGGCTGCGAAATAGCTATTTTGCAAATGAATGAAAAATTCTTCAAAAAAAAATTTTTATACCATAATTCTCTCATCCGGATGGATTATCTGATAAAATGCATTCCGGAAAAATATTCATCAGTGAATCCATACAAATATGAGATTTTATGGTACATATATTTGAATACATTTTTTGGAATTGATACATTACATGCTTATGAACGTAGCAGATGAATATTAAGAATTGCAAACTTTATAATACTTTTAAAAATCTATATCGCATGAAACTATTTTTGACACAATTGAAATTTACTAAAGCTTAATTTACTAAAATTAAATTGATATAATGATAGAAACAAAAATTATATTGCTAAGTGATTATTTTAATTCTCGTCAATAATTATGTCAGCTAATTGAAGTAGTTAAAATGTAAGGCCTTTTCAATATGATGTAGGATAACGCTTTTCAAACATGCCCTTCGGAAGGAACAAATGTTTATTCATTAAATGTTTATTTATTCATTAATATAAATTCACTCATTTATTGATTGTCCTCTCATCCAATGAATATTTTGCCGTAACAATGGTAATAAGACGTTCCTGCTGCTACTACTGCCACTGCAAATTTATTTCCAGTAAATTAAGGATGATGTGAAACTCTTTCAAAGTGGTTTCATTTGTAAATGATATGTCATCGTTTCATCATTTTACCACTGATAAACATGATTAACTTAACAGTTCGATCAACTAAATGATCTTCAAACTTACTTCCCACTTTTATTTGTTGGTAATTAATGACTTGCAAAGGACATTAACCTATAGAAGGTAGACAATATAACCGTAAGATTACATTCTTTTTTTTTTGTTCCATCTACTCAAAAATTAAAGTAATTAATTTGTTCAGAAATAAACTAAAACAATTCTTTAAATATTCAATGGTACGATTTAAGAAATAGAGAAAAATATGTCTATTCTAACGCAGGTGCAATCCAAACAATTCCCATAAAATATTCCCAAGCAGAGGTAATTCAAAAAAAAAGAAAAACTTGTGATATTTAAAAACAGGTGTAGGTAATTGTTTTGCAGCGGAAGTTTGAAATTTAAAACATGCTGGTCAAAAAACAAGCCCTCTATATGAAATTTCCTCTTTTCATAGAGGTAAACAGTAACTGTAGGTTTTCTCGTGAGACAATGACGCTTTGGAGAAATGTAAGTAACAAATTTGAGTTTTCACTTCTAACTTTTGTTTAACTTTAGCCCTAAATTTACTTCAAGGATAACCACTAATTTATAGCTTCTGTTATAGAAGGTAAATACAAAAATTTTGTTTCCAACTTACTAACCTATATATATATATATATATATATATAGAATAAATGACTGTGATATTATATATGTAGAATAAATGAAAATTTGATTTTAATTGAGCTTTAAAAAATTTTATTATAACAATTATCTTTCATCCTAAATTTTCAATTATCCAGACATCCATATAGAAATCTAAAATTTTCCAAGTGATGTACATCTTAAATGATAAGCCCAATAATAATCCGGAATGAGAAAAACTGAAAAGTAATATCAGGCATAAAATAACAAAGTTTACAGATAGCAAACATAAAGCCGAGAAAATTAAAAATTTTCTTTCGCTACATTTCCTCAATAACATTTTGCTATCTTATATTATGAGAATTTTCAAAATGACAAATAATCTAAAGTTGGATCAATTAAAGCATAATTTAATTAAAAGTAAAATCATCATATTCTAATAACTATATGTGAGATTATAAATTATAAAAGTTTTTCAGAGAGAAAAAAAATTACTTGGGTTTTCATTTTTTGGAAATAACATTCAAAAGTTAATTTGATTTCAATTACAATTTCCAATTCGTTATCAGTATCACGAAATCATACCTTTTCTAATGGAAAAAGTGAAAGTTAAATTACTGTCCAAAATGAAAGATTAAAAATAATGAAATGATAAAATAAAGGAACTCTGTCTTTCTCTTTTGGTCATCACTCTCTCTTATTCCTTCTTTTTTCAATCATTGAAATGAGGTGGCAATAAGAGAGAAGATACTGATAATAGAAGAAATTGTATGTTTCCTCCCGCCAAGAAAAGAAAGAAATAAAAGAGGGGACACCTGTATTCTTCATTGATGATGAATAGATAGATGTGTTGCAGACAAAGGTAAAAGTTTTTTCTTCTCTTTTCAAAATCATAGATTTGTGAAAAATTAAAAACGAATATCTGCTATAATAGCAGAGATAGGAATTGAAAAAGAAGGCTGAAGAAAATGAAAATGAAATGAAGTGAAATTCCAATTTTCATCATTTTACTAAACTTGATAAGTTGTTAGGCAATTAAAGGATCAATGAGAGGGGTAAGATGATGTAGAAAGAATTTGAAAAGTTAGACAATGAAGGATAGAGTAGGTATGAGTAGGATTGAGAAGCAATTATTTTTTAAGGCACTTCCTATAAAGCAAAATTAGAAAAATTTGATCAAATAAAAAGTTAAAGAGAAAATGAATGTCATTTTCTATTTCTCCTGATGTTATTGCTCTTGCTGTTACTGCAATTGAAAAGGAATTTTAAAACTGCAAGTAAATGAATATGCGTTATGGGACGGAAACGACAGCAATTTTTCAATTGCACAATGCTAAATAGCGCATGCGGATGTGTGTGTGTGTGTTTGTGTGTGTGTGCTTGCATAGGCGTACTTTTAATGCCATAAAAATTGAATGGACAGCTGGAAAGTACGACAAGCATATGCCATGGATACAATGGTCAGCAAAATTATCAACATCCTCTCTATTTTCACTTCAATAAAAATTGATCAATAAGGTTCTAAATTTTTTTATCGATAGCAATGAAAAATTATGAGGAATGGCAACTGAGAAATGCTTAATTACTGATAGGTCATTTATATTCGAACAAATACTCAATTCATAAATTTCTTCATGTTTGATGTGAGTGCTTATTATTAATCCTACAAAAGCTAGCCTATATTACGATATTATTTCGTGAACGGAGATAATAGAGAGCATAATTTAACAAAACTTGAACAATTCTCAAAACGCTACAATTAACTGTAAAAAGGTCATAGTGTAAACAGAGGGAAATAAGATCGTTTCATCATCTTCCTTCCTCATATCCCCATGTATTTCGGAAATAGATATTTTAGGCTGAAGAAAGGATCGAATAGACGACCTTCAAACGATTGATAACTGGAAAGAGCGTTTATTTCAAATGTTTTCGATAATGACTTCTAAAAAGGACAGATGGCCGATATGCGAATAATGCTTAAAATCTTTTACTTCCCTTCCTTGTTTAAACTCTTCTTCATCCGTTATACATTCTAATCCATTTCAATTCCTTCCCTGACGATTTGTACTTTTTGAAGCAAGTAGTACTGCCTATACATATATTCACATACACAAACAGACATATACATATATATATATACATATACATATATATGCAATCCTTGAAATGCACTGATGAAATTTTCGGCCTGTTTCAATAAGAAAAGCAATTTAGCTTTTTCTTTTCAGTGCTTCTCTCCGTTCCTACAAAATCAACTTCGATGTAGACCAAATTACTTTAAAAAAATGGTATACAAAAATAAGAATTATTGCCGAAAGCAATTTCATCATTGAGTTTATTGCATGAATGAACGACTGGAGTTGTGAGATCAGTTCAAAATGATAATGGATCAAATGATAAATTATAGAATGATTCTACCCCGTTACTGGAACTTATGGACGAATATTTTCTGATAATATATGATCACTGGAAACTAGAAGGCTCGCTGCTTATACAAAATCCATGGTTTGTTTAGCAGAAAGCAAATCCTCTTAGCTACAATACATTGAAATTCCAACCAACTTCATTTAGAAGTTCTTGAAATCTTACTATGCCTGCAGATACAGTTTAATAAGATTCCCAATAACTTGGAAACTTCGGAATTCAAGAACAAAAAGTTCTAACAATACAACTGCAAATACGAAAGATATCTCTGTAACTGTTTTGAAGTAACTCAGTATGGAAGCAATACTTTTGTTCAATCTGCCCTTTTTATCATTAACTAGTTTAACGGCTGAACATATTGTTTTTAGTATTAAGCTACAATGATCTTAAAGTAGCATCTGCAAATCATTTCATAAAGCATTTTTATCATTTCCAAAGCCATGTTACAATGTCCAAATCTAATAAGTGTAAATGGTCATATAACATAGCAAACATCATCTAATTTTAAGAAAAACCTCAAGGATAAGTGCTACTAAATTTTTCCTCTAACAATGAGAAATATCACTTCAGCAATTCTACAAAATAAATGATTAATGCTAATGATGAACATAGCATTGAAGATCAAATGAAAATCTTAAGCACTAAAAACTATAACACAGGCTAACTAGGAAAATTCAGTCTATACCGTATCAGAATGAATAAAAAATTCTACTCAAACTCATCAACGATACAAATTGATATCTAACAAGTGTAAATATCTAACATATCTGACAAACATATCTAACAAATGTGTTCGTTATTTTATGTATTAAATTCCCATTCTGGATAATAATGTTGCCGCATTCGCTCAATCAATCTTTTGACTCGTGGATATTTATCATCTAATATATCCGTTATTGGCTGATGAAATGGCAAATAATACGATGTGGCCAAATGTCCAAAAACCGTGAAATCGGACTACAAAGAAAGATAAGCCAGATCTCACTCCAAAACTTTCAAAAACTTAGTAATTGACTTGCTATATTCCTATCTTAGAATAAATTTGAGAAAGAACCAGACAGTATTTAGATTTTACACTTATACACTAACTTCAGACACAATACTTTGTGTCACTATGTTCCATATTTATGCAATATTAACTTTAAACTTTTTTTTTTCAAAGAATCATAAAGGGCACAGAATTTCTGAAGGTAATACATTTGCTGAAGTAATCAAAAAGTAACTCTAATCATTAATCATATACTAACTTTGATCTGAAATTAAAATTTATTTATTTATATGGTGAGCTTTAAAAAATTGCAGAAGTGCTTACTTTTAATATTATATTTTTAATTTTTAATATAATATTTTAATTTTTAATATAATATTTTTAATTTAATATTATTTTTAACGCTTATTGCTTAATTAACATATTTTCCAGATGTAAAAAATTTGATAAAAAAGAATACATAATACACATACCAAAGTAGGTTTCACACCAAATAAGAACTTTTTGTCACCTAAGATGACATCAATTGCAGCAATGTCTTTCTGCAGCATACTAATAAGATCATTTCGCGAACATTTACTAAAGCCCATATCTACGAATGTTCGCCGTACCTGAATCAATTCTGCTCGTTTTTTATGAGCCATGATTATAATAAATTCTCAAAAATGCGAATCAAATACAAAGAAATGAAAATAGCCTGAAATCCAATACTTTAAATACAACGACGTTTACTAAGTTATTCGAGCAGTGTAAATGAAGTACAACTTCTATGCAAAAAGGAAATTTACAAAACTTAATAAAATATGAATTAAATCCTTAGTTAAGAAAATAAAGTATGAATTAAATCCTTAGTTAGTTAAGAAATAACTGTAAATATAACCTTGTCGTGAAAAGGAGATATCGTACCACGCATAAACCATCGTTTAATTAACGAAGGTTCAAATCCTTGTAGAAATTTAGGCAGATTTTCTACGAATATAAAATATAGCAACAAGCTAAAAATCGCAAAAATATATATTAAAAAAAAAATATATCATATGGCTCTTCTAAGCTCAATAAAAATTAGAACTTACTAATGCGTGTTGCGTTCAATCATCCTATCAATAGCCCGCGCAACACCAATATCAACTTTCTCCAACTGGTCCTAGAAATAAAAACCAAACCAAAACTGATACCTTTTTTCTTTGTTAATTATGACATTGTTGCTAAAATAATTGGCAAGCTTAAAAAAATGCAAACCATATTTTTGATAATTGCCTAGACATTTGAATAATCAAAATCTTTTTTACATTTAAATTGAAATGTCTCTGCAGTTGCTCCACAATCAGTTGCGAACAGGAAATTTTCTCTCCATTCAACTCCACGAAAGGAAGATATCTTTCCCATGGTTGAAAATTCCAGTAACTGCGCAACTGAAGATTTTTTAAAAAAGATAGAAAGACCTTAACATCCAAATTTTTGAAAGACAGGAATTTAATATGTATATATACGTATATCTTCACGCGTCTTTTTTACATTAACTTTCTTCATTTCTTGATAAATAAACTTCAAACAACTCCATTAATGTATTATTAATGTTTTATGTTAAATTAAAATTTAAAGTCCCGAAATTAATAAGTACAGTGTGAACAACGACAATTTAATTTGACAGAACTTCTTTCTTACTACAAAAATAAAACAAATACTTTCAACTTCAAAAAATCCAAATGCATATGTACCCTACCTCATGTTTCAGCTTGTTTGCTCGTAACCAAGTTTCAACTTTGAAACAAAATGGTGAGATATTGGGTGATGACGAAGCTCGACTGAACTGGTAAAGATACACAACATCTTTTTTCCACCTTTTATTATAAATTCTGAAAGTGCTGAAAAGCGATAAAAAGCAATGAAAAGTGATAATTATAGAAATAAAAGACAATTCCACACTAAATTAATAAATAACGTAAATAACGTAATAAATAAATAATAAATAATAATAAATAAATAACGTAAAAGTCTACTTGGCTTCCAAAATTTTGGAATTTGAAATATTTTACAAATGAAAAAGTTTTCCAAAAACTTTCGGTACCACGTGCAAGATACAAATGATAAATAAACAATGCTTCAAACTTGTAATTAAAACAATTGGATCAAATGACAAAAGCAAGCCACGACTACGAAACTGATTATGAAATTTTCATTGAAAACATTTATTAAAAAGAAGCACTCTTACATCAGTATTTCACGAGAGTTTTTACTAATCCAACCTTAATGAAAACTCCAGTCACATTTCAATCTTCAAACTAATTGTCATACCTGAATTAGATTAAAACTAAAGGAAAAAAAAGATAAATTAAATTTAGAGATTACCAGTTGATATCACATTAAAATAATGAAGTTACAACAATCATATCATAGATTATCTACACTAAGAAAATGGAGCCATCTCAAATAGCTCTCATAACCATAAATAATTACCTATTTTTGGGAGTATATTGTGATAGAATAGTAGGGATTCCACGAGGCACCATAGTAGCACCATTCGATACAACTACTGTGTTTATTCTAGCTGAAACAGCCGCCTTGCGCAAGGAGTAAATCATTATTTGTATTTCAACTTTATTTCTGAGCTAGTAATCATCGATTAAGCTGACTGATTAGCCGCATTTGAAATATCACCTATTTTCAAAAATCTAATGAGCTGTTCGTTTCCCATCAGAATAATGGGATCTACTGAAATTTCCTGAATACTGCTATTTTTTTCACAAAAACTTTAATAGAGCCCATTAATAAAACCTCTGCTAGCTTGCCGACAGCTTCAGAAAATATGTAAAACAATGCAGGATTAGCCAAGGTTATCTCACAATGGCAGTCAAAGATGTATTCAAATTTATTTCGGTGTATCATAAGGCGTAAAACAAAGAAGTATTGCTATGTGACATCACATCTGACATTTATACTTGTTCAGAAATCAATAGCTAAAATAGAGCTCAAAAAAGATATTCTATTCAAGTCAAAACAAACTAAACTGTCTATGACACTTTGCTCCTGCATCACTTATAATTCGTACTTACACAAACATCACTTGATCTGATATGTACTCGAAAGATAACAAAAATATGCCACTGATAAGGATGGAAGACTACAGAGAGATCTGACTCAAAAAGCGGCTCATACATAAGCTTTGAATCTTTTTACTGGAGTTTACGAATATATTCTTTAACGCCAGCTTGACGACGCCTTTTCTGCTCTCGTTCTGTCCAAACCATAAATACTGCAAAATATATTTTCAGTAAAATAAAATGTGAGAATAGGAAATCTTTAAATTCAAAAACTAGCTCCAACAATGTATGTCAATGCCCATATTAGCAAGGAATGGAATTTTTGGTCTCTGAAACTACTAGAAAATTAATAAAACAGTTCATTAAGCACATTTCAATTTTGAAACAAATACCAACCAGTAGAAAACATCGCGAATATCACTGAGAGCATAAAAGTGGTCCTGCCATAACCTTCCTTCGACCCATTTTTGAAGAACATATTCCGCAACAGTATCAAGATGAAATAATAAGATTTTTTAATCGCGTAATAAATTGACAGCATGCATCTATCAGCTACTTCCCGAAAAAATAACACGCCGGGGAAAATCACATCTCATTAGCTGATAAGGTAATCAACCTCTCTTCTCTCGTGTATCTACTACTAAGAAAATTTGAGACTGCTCTTGAACCACCCCAAATGATCCGCAATCTCATGATAAATACTGCTCTAATCGCTGTAATGAGCACCAGCAGAACTGTGAATTATCGATAACTTTTCAAGATAAGACGAACTGAACAGATGCTATTTGAACTGATTACATTTGCTAGAGTAGACAACAGTAATACAAAATTTAATTTCAAATCTTTTATTATCAGATTGCAACAATCATGAATTGGATATACAAGTAACTACTTCTCCCCTAATATAAATACAAATGATAAATGTAGTAATCCCATCAAAGCACATAATACAATAGGCACATAAATCAGTGCTTTCATCATTAAACCGATATTTTGATGCCATTACCTCGATAAAATACTTTTTTAAAAAAGAATCTCAAATCAGAAACATAAAATATGATGCTTTCTCCTCATGGAAGTTGCAGAGTAATAAAAAATTCCTTGAGAAGAAAAATTCAAAAACAAAACCTATAGGAAATACAAAATCGTAGTTGGTTGACAAACATTTTGAGCAAGACAGATACACGTAAATATATGTAAAAACTTATCAAATCATAAAAATGTAGCAAGAATTTCACGATAGTTTTGGATCCGTCTGACATTCACCGATATAATAAGGCAGAAACAGTAAGAATTTTCTAGGAAATATTGTAAATGATTACAAAAACATATCTGAGGAAATATTTTGCAAAGTGAATGATATACCTAATATTCAAATTTTCAAGACTACAAAGTTCCGCAAAGTGAAACTCATTCCCTCCCTTTTATCTAAAAAGCCTCTGGAATATTCGTGAAAAGGGAAAAAATCTAAGATGAAACATTCACTACAAATTTTCCCTATCCGTTTCATCCTTCTCCTTCGTTTTCGAATTCGGATATGATTAATTCATTCTTCGAAATGGAACTTACATGGAGTATTTAGAAAAAAACAATATGGAAGAACTCAAGCAGACAATCAGCATGCTTGAGATCATAATGTAAGATCGAAGCAACAAAACAATGACATCAAGCATGTTTGAAATGTTAATATTAACATCAAATAATATAGAGAAAAAACAATAATTTAGGAATTAGGAAGTGGTATTCGTAAAATAAAAGATGTTTTTTTCGTATGTGATATAACGTGTTATAACATACGAACAAAAAATTATGAGTTTTAAATACTTCAATCTAAAAAACACTCAATGCTCACTGCCTTTGAATAATTACTCACTTTTTTAAGCTCCAATAATTGGGTAATATACTAAATAGTTATCTGAACTGTGGAACTTTCTAACTGCTGTTCATTGTAAAGAGATGGCATTTTACACAACACTTCTTAAATTTTTAGTATAAATGCCTCATTGAAAGATGACATGTCAGAGAAATAAACATTTCATTAACAATTTATTAGATCAGCAGCACGAAAGTTATGGTAAACATAAATACAACGCCAAATCCAATGAATATCCAACAACTTAGTTTTCAATTTTAAAATAAAAAAGCAAAAACCTAATATTGTGAAAGGATTTGAAGGATATATTTTCAAAGGGTATCAAAATCATCCACAGTATTTAGTGTTCTTTTCCCATGATCATACAACTGTTTAGCCCGACCTACCTTTTCACAGAGTCTTTTCGCTACTTCGAAACGGTTACACCATATGTGTGGTAAACGTTGTCTTCGGCCAGATGCAACTTCTAGCACTACTTCTGAAAAAAAGTTAAGTCATCTAATCATTCAGCCTGAAATCTCTTGTAAAGTTTTAAGAACGACTGAGAGCACTTATTTGTCGAAGTGAAAGACTGATTGAAAAAGGAATTCAATATTTAATCTTCACTATGTTAATATTAAAAAGCTGTCTCAGCAAGGTTCAAATAAAATTTAAACCAATAAAACATTCTCACGTTAGCATAACTTTGCACGGTAATGTCTTCCTAAGTTTAAAAGTAATGCAAGATTAATTTACAAGCGGCTTAATTAAGTGTAGACAGTGAAGAAACGACATGTAAAATACAACCGGTTGAATTAAGCTGTTCATTAACGGAAATGGAGAAAAACAATACCTATAGTTCCAAAGAAGCTATTTTTTTCACTGACAGGAACTGCCTGAATCAATTTAAGCTGTTTATAAGGTATTCTTTGTACCACACTGCTGGGTTCTAAATGAATTTGTCGAACAATATAACACTGCTCGGAACAGACTAACGCATATTGTCTTATTTTATTTGTGCTTGTTGCTTGGTCTAATAACATTTCTACATCCAATAACCTGCAAATCATACCAACCAAAAATTCAAAAACCAAACAATGCTAACATAAAATAAAATGGGATATAGCACCAGTCTTTCAAATTTTAAAATGCTTTCTTTGCAGAATTTGAAATTTCCCCACATATCATTCCTAGACTAGAGCTTACATTTCATTTGTAGCAAATCCATTGATCCTCAAAAGCTCTAATTGTGCGTCGGCAAGCCCTTCCGAATAGCAAGGCAGAAGCGATTGCAAATTCATTGTTACTCGCGGTAATCGGACCCGATGTAGTGGAAAGTGTGATTTCCTAGCTGAAACTTGAGTAAAATCGAATAAAAAATTGAAGCACCATGGAAATCAAAAGTTTTCATAAAACATCAGCAGCTAACGATAAATGATATCAACACGCTTCACCAGTAAAAGATTGTCGGCAATTTTAACTTGAACATACTAAAATAGGTTAATATGTACTTGATGGACCGCCAACTATTTCTTTAACAGCTGAAGCTGTTCCTTCGACCAAATCAAAAATTCCTTGTACAGGCTTCGTTACCGTGTCTACAGCACCAGTTGTAATTCCACGCATAGCACCCTGCAATCATACTGAATCATAATTTACTCAATAAAACTTCATCCCCATGGCACAAGATTTCAATATTAATTTAACTTACGATCAAAATCGCATGAGAAGAAACTGAAGATATTCAAAAAGCCAAAACTCCTCCTCATTCTAGAAAATTTTATTTCAAAAATCAACTCACAGTAAGTCCATCTTTACGACTTTCATTATATGTATTAGTCAAAATAGCAGTTAAACCGCCCAAAACACCAACACCTAAACCCTGAAAAAATAAGACTTCTTCGGTAAATTCTTTCTCTTCAAAGAATAGAAAAATTAAACAGGTAACATTCTGAAAATATGGTAAATTTAAGCAGTCAAAAAGAAAATATATTTCGTTACAATATCTCAATATTTTGAGAGTTCTCTCAATATTGTAGAACTCTTCAATTCTTAAAATATTGAGAGAATTTTCAAAATATTTAGTGATGAAAATATAAAGCGACTAACCTTTACACCGCAATAAAAATGAGCAAGAGCATTATTACTGTCTGCTTGCGGTTGGCATCGCAGCATTCTTCGCCTCATCATTTCATGTCGTTCATCAAACGTCAGCGCACCGACACCAGTAGCCATTGATGATGCTACCTGAAAAATTAGTTTAGTTGCACAACCAATTCAAACTATTATTCTTGCAGTTGTTGCTGAAACTTTCTAAGCACTTCATCATCGTTGCTAGTTAATATCCAATGAACAACAGTATCGAGTATCGAACTATATATCTAATAGCCTGAGTTATGCTGCGGGCCACCAGAAAGTCTCCATTCATCTACAAAAATATTGAAAATTTTATTGAAATCAACTAGTCGAGATGTTTTGTTAGTTACATAATTTTAATGTTCTTGGAAATCTAAATTCTTCTAACTACTGACTTCAAAAGTATCATCCATATACAGTATGTATTATCAATGTGATAAATATTCCTTTGTTAAGACGAAACAGTAACATGTACAATACCTTTGATATGCTGTTAGTGAAACAGTATCCCAAACCGCTAACAAAACCACCCAAATTGCCTTCGAACAACAATCCCTCGAAACTTTCCTTTAAATCAGAAGCAAGACCCAAAGGATTACCAAAAGCATCCATTGTCACTATGATGTTGAAGGTTTGATTTTTTAACTCTTCTAAAAAATTAAATTTTGATTTTTTGTAAACGTAACGATAAGGTGTGATAAAAAGAGAGCTATAAATCAGCGCTAAATAATACAAAGAAAAAAAGAGAGCAACTGCTATCAAAACTAAGTACATCAGAAAATGCTCCACAAGTAAATTATGATCATAAAACAGCAACAGTAGTTCCCAGTCAAAGAAATCAAGCAAAAAATAAGCAATAATTCTATTCAAACCAATGAGCAACAACTCAGTGTTTAAGCATTAACTAACCGATATAAAATTTGCTGAGTGTTTCAATCAGAAATGAAAACGTCCCAAAATATCGAAACTGCCGAAATGGTGGAAGAGAAATCATCGCATTTTCGAAACTGACCAGTTTCACGTTGAATTGCCGTTTCAATTTCCGCAAATCAGGTGGTAGACCACTCGTCGCAACTGTTACAACTAAATACTAAATAATAAAAGCCACCATCAATAAACTTGAAATCAGAAATTCTATACTGTTTTAACAAAGACAACCTGAAAGCGCCACAGCACCAATTTCCAAGTCAAGCGTTCCAAAATAACATCTACGTGCTTGCATCCGATCTAGTTTATCAAGTTCTATGTTAGGTGGCTGCAATAACGTGTTAGGCTTCATACTTTCAGCAGCTTCCGCTTCTAAAAAATAAAATTTGAAAAGAGATTAAGATCTATATCACAGTAAAGATTTGCTCTAAACAAAAACACGACTCATCAAAACCCAGCCTGTTGGAATACAAAAAAAGAACTGAATTTATATATAAGTTAACATACTCTGTACAAATTGAACAATTTTCCATAACAGTGTTTCATCGAGCTGTACCGATAAATTACACATTTTCAACCGGAAGCACTAGAAATAAAAAATATTTAAATGAAATAAATTTGCATAATTACTTAGTAACATAATATTTTTCATAATTTTTATAATTTTATAGAAATTTTTGTATATATATAACAGAGACTAGTTATTCAAATATGTAAGTAATAAAAAAATTTGAAATAGCGCACGTCAAACGCATCGTAATGTTCCAACGGCGTCCAGTTCATTTCTAACTTCACGGCAGGAACCGAAACATGGGATTCGGAGAGACCTGATTCGATACTTGTCATATCTTGTTGACAAAACAGAACTTGCCATCGATCCGTCGTCAACAGTTGATTATCAGCCTTAAACTGATAAAATATCAAAGCTTTGAAGATTCTTAAGAAAAAAAATACTCGGATCTGAAAAACTTACCAGTTTATTATTAGTTATTGCTAATCTTACTTTCAAAACAAATCAGACCTGAATCACTTCAACGCTACCAGTTATTTGATGTGTTGGACCTTGACGATTCACGTGTAGTACTATTCCTTGAAATCGTGCATAAATCAATTCTTCATGTAATCCATTGATGAAAGACAATCCAATACCTGTTATAATCGTTGCAAGGATGAGATTCGTTGTGTTTAAATTTAAACATGATAGTGCATTAAGAAAAAATAATAAAGTAATAAAATGATATTTCATATATAAAAAAAGTTCACAGCACTCTTCCATGCCGTTGAATACAAACACCTTTTAATGAAGTGAAATAATGTCATGTGTGACACTGACTGAATAAACCATACTAGCTATTGCCGGAATGATCAAATCGTATAATTTTAGCTGCATTTTAAAATAAGACTGAATTACTTGAAAATCAAATTTATTATCAAGTGCCCCCAAGATGAAGCACAATTAAAATTTTGTTGATATTCCAAGATATAGTCTTTTGGAGAATATGGAAGTTTAGGAGACCTACCATTTCGCATCGAAACATTTACTTCGAAATTGCACACATTGTTAAAAGTTGTTTCACAAGCAATGGACAGCGGTTGCAAATTAAATAGCTGACTAGAACGGCGTATTGCTTGTACTTGATACAGTTTCTTCCGATCCGTTATGCGGACTACCTTCAAATACAATCTTGTTGTTAGCTTTTCACGACAGAACATAATCAATAATCTTAACTTTCAATAATTTTTTGGAAGAATTTCATAGTTTTAATACATAAAGCAGGTCGAATTTAGAAAAAAATTCGCGAATTTACAAAACGCAATGAATTACGACTGCAGAACTCAAGATTAGAACTTCGTTGCAGAGAAAGAGAATAGAATTTATCAGAAACTTTCGTCCCCTTGAAAAATGAGTAACAAAAAGGTATAGTACCAAAGTAGGTCCTCTGTGAAAGCATTCAACGTCTAAAATACCACTTCCTGGGAGTTGCGACTGCAATTCCCAAATCTGTTCAAGCGGAACTCCTTTCTTATTTAATGGAGGTTTCTTGTTCGGAATAGCGAGTACCACTTCCGTTTTGCGTGCTTCAACAAACATTCCTTCCACTTTACAACGTAATTGCTTCTCCTGAAAATTATATCCAAGCTAAAACAAGTTAAAAAATAAATTCTTACCAAAACAAATTTCTTTAGAATTTCAGGACTTTAATTACTAAAATTTCATATAATATGCGTAGTCAAGTACTCAAAGCTTCGAGGTTTATACTTTTAAGGAGCACTATAATTTTATAGTGCAAATTTAAATGTCAAACAAATATTTAAATGCACGATTATTCATTCCAATATTTTCTTACCGGTGTAAATTGCCATTTTTGGAAACGATCTCTTGCCGAGTTTCGTTTTAGCATCATTAATACAAATCCACCATTATCCAGGACGTCAAGCACGTAGCGTTCTCCTATTTTTGCACGATTATTCATTCCAATATTTTCCAAACAACCATCTTGTGCAAAACGCCACAATTGATTACAACTACTATCGCTGGGGTTTAGTTTATTAAGTATTACTTTCCCTTTATGCAGGACTTCCAATGCTAGTTCAAGTTCATCTGTGAAGCCGTCTTTCGGTTTCCTGCAAAATTCTCTTCAAATTATTCAGTTATATAACATAAATTTAAAATGACTAGGCATGAAATTCAATCATCATACTCGATAAAAACACTAAATAAGAGGCGCAAATATATTACTAAAGTGTAATTAAAATAGAAGACGAACATAAATTATTAAAGGAATGAAATTCCCTATTCCAAAAAAAAGACAAATTGCCTGCCAAAAGAATGAGCGAATTTGATGAAAAAATCGTTAGTATACACCAAAGGCGGTCCCATTCCTGGTTTCTGTGGGTCGTAAAAATTGGATTTATTCTCAAACACTTGAAGTATCAGTAATTTTGGTGCATAATGATCGTCCCAAGCATAATCTACTGTACTTCGTGCTTTACAAATTGTACGCAAGTGAGAACTTTGAGGCCTGTAAAAAGAAAACCTTGCATAATAAATTGGGACAAAGAATTGAACAATCAGAAACAAAAGATGAAAGACCATGGGTAGTAAACGCGCTTAAATATTTTAGTAAATGCATAACAAAAGTCAAAGGTGCTGTTAAAATGTTTTTAATGAAGAATGCAGATTTCAACATTTTAATGATGTGAGGTTTATTTATTCCCTTACCTTTCAATTTTTTGCTGGTATAACACAGGAACATCGGATAGATTTTCCAGCTGAATTGGTGGCGGATAGTAACAAACGTTCGTGAAGGTAACGTAGAATATAGCACTATTGAGTGTCACCTCAACTCTCAGAAACTGAGGTGTTTCATCCGCATCTCTTAAAAATGAATACGAAACATTGGAAGAAAAAAATTTTTGCATGGCAGACAAAGAAGTACTATACTTCATTATCAAACACTGTTTTAAATAAAGAACACCAATTATAAGGTGTATGATTACTTCGTTGAAACAACGCGTTATTGCTAAATTAACAAGAAGTGATATTGCACACTTTTTACCATGAAGTAATCAAACAGTTAACAGTACTATTTTGTACTATTTTTGATGAAAAAATATTTGGAAAATAGTGCATCTATTCGATCTCAAAAAATTCTTGTAACCCAAATTTTCCTGAATACATTTAATGATCAACATATCCTTTGCATTTTTCCATAATTAAAATTAAACCTCATAGTAACATGAAAAGAGCTGATGAGATCGATTCTAAATGGACAACTCCAGTACTTGACATCATCACGTTTTACACATATCATCCGGTTATCCTCAAAGTTTTCATTCCAAATCAGGTTGCATTTGCTAGCCACTTTTACATGCTGATTGGGTTGCTAGAAAAATTGTTTATTAATTACCTATTAGAATAAAACAGATAAAATTCTTCGTTTGGCAGGCGTGTCGAATAGTAACTCTCCTAGACTGCTAATGCTTCTACTACAAACAAGAAAAAAACTTATAAATGAAACAATAACGTCCAATACATAACTAACTCTCCAACTTCTGCTATTATATTTTAATTTTCTGAACAAAATCGAATATTAAATATAACGAAAATCACATACATCAATGCGATCGATGTGACTTAGTGAAAGTCCGAAAGAAGTTTGATTATTGAGTACGTAACGTGGGGTAAGCATAACGACTTGGGTATCTTTGTATCTACCAGTTCCCTGTCGCACTTCTACACCGATATTGTATATCCTGCAATAAATTCAAAAATTAATCATATTGTGTTAATCAAAAATAATCATAATAGTAACTAAAAAAAACTTTGTTTAAAAATGCCACGCTTTTGAAAATTTGCAGGGTAAAAAACAAACTGTGTCGGATGTTGATCATGTACTAGTCGTAATTTCATAGAGTGTAGCCCAACTGTAAGTGGAAACTTGGGTCCAAACAATGGTTTGTAGCTCTGATCAGTGGCATAATTTTGGCCAATCCTTACAGTACATCTGCAAAAATAAATTTTTTACTTTTAACTGCAATATGGCAGTGGTTGAATTTTCTGATTGAAAAAACTGAATTTCTTATTATATTCTGAATTTCAAGATGTACTGTTTAGGGCAGTTATCGTTAACAAATGAGAACATTAATGGATTCCGATCCTTTGCACTTTCATGTTCTTCCATTTGTCCAGCAGCTATATCATTTGTTGCTTCCTGTTTGATAATTAATGGAATACCGGATTTATTCACGATCCAGTATGGTACCTGCAACGGCACAGTAAAATGTTTCAAGCATCAGAATGATGTAAAAGTAACATAAAATATTTATTTACAGTCTAAAAGCGTTTATAAGAGGAGATATCAAGATAATTAAATACTTGGATTTTCTAAATATGAGAAAAACTCACAAACCAACTAATCTTGTAGTTTCTAAAGGAATAGCAAAAAAGAATTAATAAAAGCGAAGCTTACCCACAAAGCCAATAAAACTGCTCCAGTGCTACCAATACTTAGGCTACAATAAATGTCCAGATATCGCTTTTTCGAATCTTTCATGCGCAAATGCAAACGATCTACATCGCCGGCTTTCTGCATCAGTGAATTTCTGGAAAAATAATGGCATTAAATTTCTTCAAAATATTTCTAAGTTCAGGTTTATAAGCAAAATTAAGCCCAAAAGATTTTTAAATCAGAAAACTGCAATTTAACGAGTGTTCTGCTAATGAAAGAAAGCTTCAAGTGATAGTCTTTTTTGAACGTACTTTGTGACTGTAACTTCGCGCACTGAGACGAATCGATCGGTGACAACCTCAAAACTGATATTTTCAGCGGTATTAACCTGGAACTCAGCAACTCTAACGCAATAAAACAAGAAAAACGAAGCTTCTGCCTTCAGAACTCATAGAACCCATACAATAATGACATATCCCTCACACAAAGAGAATATCGAAACGGGACCTAATAACTTCAAACTGTTAAATTAGAAGTAGAAAAAATATTCACAGATGTAATCTGTATTTGTTTACTGGCAGAAACAGCATATTTTCTATTAACAATCCGAAATTCTGCATCAACTGGTAATAAATTGAGGACAGAAAGAGGAGCCGAAAAATTTATTGTATGCCCAGAGAGCATTTCGTATTCTGGATAATGTTCTCGTTTTATAGATAAGCACATCCTGAAAAAGATGAACTACTATAATCATTTCGACCAAAGGATGAATGATGTTAATAAATTAAGCTCTAAAAAAATCATAAGTTTACCAGTAACATGCGTCAAATATATTAAATTCCAACAATTTATTGATTCTTTCGCCTGCACTTTTTGCTTCTTGCCATTTAACCTAAAATCAAAACATATATTTCAGTTCGAATATTTGATAAAACATTCTCAATTATTTTCTAACATACTTCATGGGCTTTCGAGCAATTCCAACCATCCGGTTTGACAGATATCGAAGCGCTTGCAAATTTGAGTGGCACATGCAATGTTTTTTTCGAATCAACTCGAATAATTGATGTTTCTTCAACGAAAGACTATTTCATTATTTCAAAATTAATTTCAGATGGTACATTAAAACCTCATAAATCATTTACTATTTTCAGCATAGTTTGAAAAAAATTCTAAACCTGGAACTCTTGAACTTCCACAAGTAAGAATCAATAAAATAGAATCAAGAAGGTGATTGATAACTGTTAATGCGGATCGTATAGTCACTACTTTTCGACCATTCTTATCCATAGTAACAACAATAACCAAACGAACATTAATTCCAAAATTATTCTGAAAAACTAACAGGAACATTTTCCATGGTTATGAAATATTTAATACGAAAGCCAAATAATGACTTCTCAAATTTTCAAAGTTATAGACTTAGCTTACATCTGCAGCTCTGGAAGTTGAACATCTGGCAAGCCGAAAATATGTACCCACTGCATCCACATTTACAGGAGATATCTCATCCCAACCATCAACCCGGACTATAAGCTGATGGATTTCTTCCGAATTTTCCTGGAAAATTCGATCATTTGAGAATTTATCATTTCACAAATATAAAAAAATGACAGAGATAAAGTTTTTCACAAATCAATTGAAAACAAACTGCAATGGTGAGCTTCTTTGTGGGAAATTCGAAAGTAGTTGAAGAATCTGGGGCTGTTTGATACCATTTGGCTGTGGACTTCCTTTGCATAGATCTAGCCTCTAAAACCTCGTCAGTAGCTGTTGTGAAACGTAGGGTGGAACCGGTCTCATTGTGCAAAATATAAGGGAGATGATCTGACCTTGACCGCACACCCGGTCCACTAAAAACGTTCATTTGTTTAATATATATTTTGAAAAATTACAGATTTAATTAGTGAATGTACAAAAAATTTCTTTGTTTACCAACTACTTCATTAGAAAACATTGAAATTATGAAATGCTCTAGACAATATATTCCAGTGAACTGGACTATAGCAGTATCCGTCAAAGAGCTACGGTGAGCCATTTATACCAAAAAAAAAAAATAGTGAGAAACACTCTTCCATAACTTTTAAGATTTTCAAAAGCTACCGAAAATCTTCATCCAAAGCATGCTTGATCTCGGACAATTGCGAACTGAAACGCACTGCCTGTCGCAAAAACACTTGAGTGATATTAATGTTAAAGGTACTGAGTTCATCTGTAATGAATTTGAGGAGAAAAAGACAGAAACTTGCTTTTGCTGACAGTGATCACTGCTCAAGTATGCATCTTGACAAAACGTCATAAAAAAACTAGATATATCATCATCAAGAAATAAAATTTACACATATTTACGAAGTATCCCCCTACAATTTTAATGAGGATAAAGATATAAAGAATGATTACTACAAATATCTTTTCCGCTAAATTAACAAGCTACTTAATTATTGTACTATTACCACCAAAGAAATTTGAATGATAAAATTTACCAGCAAAAATATCTATAACTACAGTGCTGTTTTTGGTAACCATTACCAACTGTTTTAATTCCCAATCTTCAATTAATGGTTCCCAACCAAAAACATTTTGATTGAAATAATCTGCGCCAAATGTGAATGAGCCAATAATCTTCTCCAGATATCGATTCAAATAAAATCCTAAAGAGTATTTTTTTAAATCAAAAAAAACTTCTCAAAGGATATTACTAATAAGGTATTAAAAAAAACCTAGCACACAGGTACAAAAGACTATAATGCAGAAAAGGTTTTAATAATTCATCGATAATGCGGGTTCGCTACTTAATCCATCAATAGCAATCCAATCATTGCTGGCTGTATCTCAAAAACTCAAACGTATACATCGATTTTGGAAAATATAAGCTAAAAGACGAAAAGCCTATTATTATTATTAACAAATGGGTAAGCTCCTATATGATAAAACAAACTTTTGAATTTGCATCGAGCAAGCGGGAAAACTGTGCCTTGATGATCATCCATTAACCAGAAAGAAATATTATTGCCTTTCACGATTGTGCGAACAACATTAACTAATGTGCCTTCTGCAAAAGAGAAGCAAACTTGATATTATATACTTGAAACTTGGTATTATATAGGGAAAGCTACAAAATTTCCATAGTTACCTTTTTTAGCCAAATGAGAATCACATTTCGGATTAATGCTTTTTTCTAACGACTTGTTCAACCTCTTTAGTGACGAAGTGAGAACGTTTCGTATCACATGAAAATCTCGATATGATACTCTAGCCACCACATCACTGATTTCAGCCTTTAAAAATGTAATTCAAGGAAAACAAATCAGAACATGAGTATTGGTCCTAAAGTTTCGTCTCTAGATTTTTTAAAGTATAAAGTGGAAATAAAGCAATATTTTTCAGTATACAACAAAAAAACATTAGAAAACTTACGACAAGTTGATGCTTAACAGGAATAATTGAAGAAAGTCCAATTCTTGAAGTCTGTCCTTCGACGTCTACATCATCTTCTACTGAAAGACTAAGTGTCAACGAGAAATCATTCGTTAATTGACATCTGCTTCCACTCTCAGACGCCATCATAAACCAATCCAAGTTAACTCGCTATAAAAAAACCATATCAATATGTAATGTGTATATATTGGATTTCTTTAAAGATATCAAAAATTAACTACCCTATACACAAATATAAAGTTTGCTAATAACGGTAAAGAAATCAAGACATTGAACTCACCTGTATCTCTAAGTTAATATTCAACAATTCGCGTGCATCGTTCATATTCAAGACAGCGGTAGTATGAGCGACAAGAGCTAAACTGTGTGGAGATTCTGGCTTCTCAAGAAGTATCAAATCACATTCTTTTAATGTAATTTTTAACGAAAAAGTTTGTTCTACAGATTCACATATTTGTGGATCTCGCTCCATAATTCCTGACTTCGTTGTATGCACAGTGCCTCGATATGTATCTTCCGCTACAAAAATTTTATCAAGTTTCAATATTTTACTCGTGATGTCTAAGTCTTCAAAAAAAGTGGTCTATTTCGTATTGTGCATTAATGTTTCACTAAAAAACTTTAATATTCAATAACCTGGCGGTATGAAATCAGAATGAAGAAGAACAAAATTTTTCACATCATTAAGCCAATCCAGTAGCAAAAGTACTCGTGCGTTCAATAGAACCAATGTAATTACAGGTGGTTCGTCGCATTTAAAAACAATATGAGCTTCGGACATAAGTTTACTTCTGAAAGTGAAGGATTATATGTATAACAAATTTTAAGTAAAAGATAAAGGATTTTCTGATTTTTAAATACAAACTGGAAATAAGATGAAAAGATTTTTAACTAGAGCAGCATTAGCTAACAGACGAAAAAATTTAAGGCTCGCGACAACAACAATGAAAGGAAATTCACAGCATTAACTCTGTTTGATTAAGAAAGCTCACTTTTACGAATTAAGCATTATTTCAAACTTTTCATAAAGTTCATTTATGCTCAAAAAGATAGGTTTGGACTAATTACCACTGAAAGAGGAAAAGGAAGAATGAAGTTAAAATAGTAAAAGATAGTACAATGATGCTTTAGCTGATAAATTGATTCATCATTACAAGTACTTCATCCAATTAATGACAATTATCTCACAAAACTGTATATGATATAAAACTCACTTATTCGAATCACCTTTAGGTAACGGAAAGAGAACAGAGTAAAAAACATTTGGCCTCTTATCAATTTCTATATCTGCAAAAGGAAATGTCATATTAGCGACAAATCGAGAATTAAGCATATATTTTTTGAGTTAATGACAAAATTAGCATTATTCAAAAATCATTGCAGAAATTTAAGTTCTATAAGTTTATTTGCTTGAAGTTATTCAGACAGCTTGAAAATCTCACTCGAATTTATTATTAATAGATGTGCATAAGCTGACTCTAAAAGGTATGAACATCTATTAATAATAAATTCAAAGTAATCACATTAAATTTATTAGTTTTGAATATTAATGGAAGCTTTCATGATTCCTTCTGCTAAATATTAATTTTTTCTTATTTACCAAAGAACTGCGTGTCGATGAGTTCAGTACTTTCGCAAATTAAATCCAGTTCTGATTGATTATCGATATAGACATCAAATGATATGCGTGAGGAATTTAATTTAACTCCAACTAATGGTAAAAATCCTTGAGAAGGATTGTCGCACTGCACAAAACAATTAAACTGTAATAAAATATATTCAGTTATACAAAAGACTTAAAACCCAGTTGTTAAAATTTTCCTCATCACTGCAAATAATGCATTTACCTCAACATTCGTAAGCATCATACGGAATGAAAACGATGCATACTTATTACTCGCTCCAACAACCTGCTGGAAAAACATTGTTAATAGAGTTGAAACTAAACACAAAAATTATGATAAATTCATTTCAAAATATTTTTAATATCTATAAGACAGTGAAAAATGATCTTTAAGTGTCACAACAGTGGATCTTTCAATTTCCAAAATAAGCTAAACATGTTCAAGAGAAAATACAGTAATAAACTGAAATGAAACATTATTTGGAAAACGAGTTAAAAATTTAAACTAAAACTTGCATGGAGTTCTGCAGGTTTCTGCAAGATTTCAATTGGGATCGTTTCTAATACCGGAACTAAAGGATCACCTAAGTTCATCGATAAGAAACCGCGCAGTAATCGATAAAAGTCACTAGTTAACTTGATGTTTAGATTGGCGAGTGATGCAGTAATTACTACATCTGGTACTAAAAAGCATTGGAATTAATGATTATAAAGGCAAGAAAATAATTTAAACGAAGGACAAGAAAAACTGAAGCTTGGAATAAGCAAAAGTTCAAAAAATGCATAGTGAATAGAAAACTTCGTTTTATTTTCTCAAAAGTTAGTTCTGCAGGTTTCTGTAAAATTTCGACTGGATCGTTTCTGATACCGGAACTAAAGGATCACCTAAGTTCATCGATAAGAAACCGCGCAGTAATCGATAAAAGTCACTTTAGTCATTTTCAATGAAAAACAATTTTGAAATTTTGAAAGTTGTCAACATTTCTGAATTCTCTTTCAAAGTCAAGAATTTCAAAACAATTTTCATTTCACTTAAACCAAATAAATCCCCAGCACACATTGAAAACAAAGGAAATTATTCACCTCTGTGCGAAACAAAAATATCCAGATTTCGGAAAATGTCTAATAACAAATTATAAGGTTTCGAAAGAACACTTTTTCGCGAACTTAAAAAATGGAAATGCTCGAACATATCGCAGCATACTCTTTCATAATCTAAAAATTGATTAGTCATGCGAAATTAAGATTAACTCGTATAAGAAGCAAGTGAAATTAGACATTAGATTTATACAATAGGCAATCAATATAAATACATTTTTTCATTTCAATTTTTCGTAATGTAAGTTTTTACACCTTTTATTTCTATTTTCTTTTTTTTAGTCTATATTTTTTTAGTTTTTTTTTTTCAGTCTATCGTTTTTAATATTCTACTATTACTGCAATATTTCTGAAATTTCAATAGTAAACAGAAAAAAAGCTACCTGGTATTTCGCGGATTACAGCCTTGGCGTTTGATATCCGCACGCCTTCATAAATTGATGCTTCAGTGCAAACAACTGACATCCAATCGATGCAACAATCGTGATCATCATCATCTTAACATTATCTTTGTTATACCTGTCATTATACTGAAGTTTTATGCTTCAACACTCCTGTCCAAACAAGAAAATTCTTGATCATACTGGATATAAAAATTAAGCTGCCGAAATGTTTGCAGAGAAATAGCTATTCATTTAACTAAAAAGAATGAAACTTCCTGAAAAATGGATTATAAGAAAATAAAAAAGTAAAAAAGCATGAGAAAAACAGCAAACCAAAAGTATTGCCAATTTCGAAATCTTGGAATTTAGAAATTAAAGATGACAACTGGAATTGATTACTGATACGAACATTAGTAGTTTCACAGAGAATAACTTGATTAGATAGTTGATTAAGCGGAAGGACAATCGTGCACGGACATTCAATTTCACAAATTAATTTTGTCCTACTTCGCACATCATTGTTCATCTGAGGAAATTAAACATTTTCCAGATTATATCGAACAGCGAGAGAAATAAAATAAGATATTCCATATTTGATCAATCGATGAAACACATAAAGTAAAAAGAAAGATTCAACACGATATTTTAGATATTTCATGCTAAATCAACTTACTCGAATATTTGCAGATGAAACGTTATTTCGTAGAACAATATTTTGTAACTCTATAAACTGCTGCCAAAAATCCAATAGCGCATTAAAATAACGATGTGTATGGACATATGCGATGCTCATCGTTGACGGTATTCGTAGTATAATACTCACGTCATATCCTCTAGCCGCAGCTAATTTTGCACACAAACATCTATAGCTATCATTCTGTTTTAATTTTAACGGTGATTTTTTTTAATTAGTTTACTATCTTTTCATTTTCGCGCTATATTAAAAATGCTGAGCTTCATCGCTGAGCCATATTTATTAAACTGCCACAACTTGAAATTATTCCTCCCATACTAATCGTTAAAAATTTTGTAAAAAGAAAATGGTCATAGGAGAACCACTTTAGTCTAATACATCTTTCAATAGAAAGTTAAATAAAAGTTACTTAGTAATGTCAAGAGTTGCATGAGAAGAAAACATATGTCTTTGATTTTCGTCATCTGAAAAAAGTGTTCGTTTGATCACTTTGTTCCTCATCCGAAGACTAATACGTTCGCTGTACAGTTCCGAATAAAAGGGTGTATTATCCGACAGTGAACAATTTCCCAACGACAGCGATATTTCTAGTGGTACCTCATCGTCGTTGATCCTTGCCTATAAATCATCTACTTAGTGTAAGAATATCACTTTTTTAAATGTTGACAGAGTTATGGAAACAGATTAAGCTTTTGAATTTTTTTTACATTATTCATGAATCACAAAAGGCAAACGCTATGGATAATAACATAGAAAACCAAACATTTGATGGAACGAAGGAAATGTGAAACGAGAATTGTTGAAAAAAAATTAAAATTTAATGAAGTCGGTATGACACCAACTGAAGCAGAGAAAAAATATTAGATGAACCTGGACTTGTTGACGGGAAACAGATAAGGTCAACTGGGACGGATAAATTACAAAAAAAAAAAATTTAAATTTATGCATAATTAAAATTCGCAATAATGTGTTTCACCTGTGCACTAATAAACACTTCCTCTCCTCGGATTACACCTAAATGGCATTTATTTGTCGGATAATTCATCACTATCTGTATCAAGCCAACATTGATATTAACTTTCATATTATATGGCTCTGCAAGAAATGAAAATCGGATTGTAATCAAGAAAATCCTCATTAAGCACTTTTGTGGAAGCGATAAACAAATAATTCATTTTGAACAGCAATAATTTAAAGAACTGAATTATTCCTAAAATTATTATCCAAAATTTGAATTACAAACTCATAATTTTCTCCAACTTTTCCTTCCTATAATTATCAAATCTCTATAAATCTCTTTACTGTAAATGGTTCTTGAATTTTTACTGCTCTAAATACCGGTTTCGTAAAGAATACATAATCAGCATGATTCTTTTCCAAACGTTTTGAATGCATAACCTCGAAAAGAATTAGTAATTTGAAGCAAAAACTTAGAAGCAACCTAAATCTTGTAAAGCTATATTTGTATTAGCTGCAGATGGGCGGGCTAGAATTTCAATATAGTCCTCTGGAAGTTCCATTTTTGGTTCCAACAAACCAAAAAAATCGAACAAGAGCGTATAACTTCGTCGATTCATGCATATTTCTACTTTTGGTATATCCATATTGATCAAACAGCTTACCTATAGATTTAAATGATTAGAAAAAGCAATTAAATTCACAAAACAATATATAACAAGACTTATGTTTCATTCAATTCATCAGTCCTACGAAAAAATGATCATATATTTATAATAATTAGAATGAAAATGTTGCATTATAGAACTAAATCAAATTATAAAACAAAATTTTCTGACTGAAAGCAAGTCCTACTGTCAAGTCTAATACAATTGGTAAGATTGCTTGCAGGAGTTTATTACAGTTCTACTTATTCTCTATCTGCTAACATATTTTTAATATATTGATCATCAATAAACGAAGCAACAAATGAAATACTTACTTTTTTATGGGTGGATTCAAAAGATGGGTGCTTTTTGCTAATTAACAGAAGAGTGAAACGAGATGCACCAACAATGTTAATGTCCTTTAATCCAGTGCTACTTAGAGTATCACTCTCCCTTCTTAGTTTTTCATTTCTACTGGTATCCATTGTGGTAGGACGTGAACTTACGCCTAAATTTCAAATCCATTTCATACATCATAAAATATATTCAAGTAATTATAAATATCACCTCATAACACATTAACGCTTATATGCTATGCTTCAGTGGCTTCACTGAAACAAAAATTATCCGAAATTCATTCAAATAAACTGAAATGACAAATTAATTTGCAATTAGCTTTCTGATAAATAAAAAATTTACTGAGGCCACGTGTACGTTGCTGAGATGTAGAAGATTTGAACCATAAGTCGTCAACATTCAAACTTGGACATGAAGCAGACATTTGTTTCTGAACATTGTTCTCCATATAATTATAAAGTGGTTGTTAATGAATAAATACTAGAGAAATGAAAACTGCACTTCATGTTTTACAATAAACAAGTCAAATTAACTACATAAAATATAAAAATCTATGAAGACCTTAAGCGAGGAAACTTGACTTCTTATACATAGTAATGAATCAATTGTCGGTTCAAACAAATCTTCGACTTCTAACGAACCGAACTCAATTTCAACCTTAAATATTAGAGCAGATATTAAAATATTTCAATCGTTTTTTCAGTTTTAGAATTACAATACAAAATTTATACCACTTTGTAAATATGGCAACGAAGATATGTTTTTAGCAGATGAGATTCTTCTAAATCCATACCGTTGTAACGAACTGTTCTCTATTTGATATTCCAACTACTAGGTGCCTCATATCTGCCAGAGCGAATGGTGTCGACGTTGCTGATTTTTTTTTTCGATCTAATAAATTCCCTCGTTTGCTACGCAACTCCACTTTTAGCTATAATTTGGAGATAATTATTCAGAAATTATCAGTAAAAAATTCTTTCTAAAACGTATGTTACAACATAATCCTGTTTTTTACGTTTTATTTTGCAATTCCTTTACAAAGTTCCATATCTATCAACATGAGTATTTCAAAAAAATTTTCTAATATTCTGAAATTTAGCATAAAGAAGTTACGGATTAAAATCTTAAACTGAATGAACGTTATTGGAAGACATTTGAACCGCTGAATATTTCGTCGTCATTAAGATAATAGGTTGTATCACTATAAGCACAAGCTATAAATAATTACCTGGGGACAATGAATGGCGAAGTCAACGACAGTCATAACGTCCATCAATATGGGGTCCAAATTTTTATCCTGTAATAATACTTTTCTGAAAGAAAATTACATTTTATCCTATTTTATACTAAAATATATGCGTAAAATGAGTACAAAATGAAATTTGTAGTTGAACAACTGCAATCCTATCATAAATCCCTTTTTCAATCTGAGAGAATCTAGAAATCTCACTACAACCAATGCATTTTGTAAATCTATAAATTTTCAAGAAAAACATACATATTAACCACTGAAAAGAGATAACAAAATTGATTGGTAAAATAAAATTCCCATATGTAAACAAAGTTTGTTCAAATACCTGTTTAACTACGCTTTTGTCGCTGAAAAAGGTGGCTAAGTCATCAAAAGCATCCTCATTATACAATACTGACAATTCACTGCACCTTATATCAAGCGTATGTGTCACCACCATCTTTGGAGCACGGCGATGGTATGTTAATCTTCAAAAAAAAAACTGTTTGTTTTAAAAATACCTTTAATATATTTCTCATTGTACATTTCATTCAGTAAAAAAAACTGCTCCATATTTGAAAGGTAACTACTTTATCAAAAGAACAACTAAGAAACACTAAGAGACACTTTATATGCGCATAAAATTTAATTTTTGAATTTACCGAAACAGTGCATTATTCGAACCATTGCTTTTGGCACTATCTAAAGCATTTGGACCACTAGTTTTCCCAGCCTTTCCAATGGCAAACAAGATTTGAGTGGTTTCTTTCGCAAACCCAAACATCAGTGATTCACTCTCTTGTTTGCTACTTTCGCCTAGAATAATAAACGGACAATGATCATGCACTAATATTACTGGCTCCAGCTTATGAATTATATATATAATTATACAACTAGAAAAAAAAATTCTTAACCATTTTGCGTACTTTCGACCAACATATCTTCCGTAGGGAAGGTGTATAATCTTTGTAGACTCAAATCAGCAACAGTAAGTGACATAGCTGTACTATAACGACGTGGGCTTAGATGGACACAGCTTGTTAATTGCCATAAATCCATTGCTAGTACTCGTGTACTTCCATCTTTTCGATTCTGTAAATTTGTAATTGAGTTGCCTTTTCTTCATTTAAAGGTATTTTTTACTGATATTTTGCTAATTGAGTTTTATAAAATTCCATTCTGAACTCTCCGTAGTAGCTTTTTTATGATCAGTGGCAAAAGCAAAACATTCCAAGAAAAAATCCGCAAACTTTTTGTATGAATCATACTAATAGTTTAGCTTTATCAATGATGTAAATTAATGAAGCAAGCATATTTAAAGTATTTGCAACAAAAGGAGTTGATCAAAAAGGAAATTACTTTTAAAAATATTTAAAAATATAGTTATCAGAAATGAAATATTTCAGCATTGGTTGATTCAGTATATGTTATTGGAATTTAATAGCGAATGCTAGCGCCAACGTCTCCACTGATCCAAGTTGTTTCAAAAACTGGGAAAATTTATGGCAAATTACCTCAAAGTCATCTATGAAACGTATTGTTATCCTTTCAAGTTTTAATTTTACTTCCGCTAATAGAGTATCACGATATAATACGGTTGAATCATCCCTGCTTTCGTTCAGCACATCCAAAATTTCATCTTCGACCTTTAATATTTCCTGTATTTCAAGCAGAAAATTTTCCAAAAATTAAAAAATCCTTTTAAAAGAAGCTATAGATGTATGTAAAATGTTTTGCCTGTTTTTCGAGCAGTTTAAAATCCGTGGATAACGAGCTTTCTTTTTCATTGTTGGATAATACATCGATTACAGATTCATCACGATCATTTTTTTCTGATTTTGCTTCTTGAAATTTTGAGTTTAAATGCCTAATTTCTCAGTAATTTAATCGAACACAATTCCTAATCTCAAAGGGATTCTAACTTAATGCTTTCCACTTGATTTAATCCACAATTAATAGCAAGATAAATAGCTTTAAATAAAAAAGATGCTAGCTGGATGATGGTTGCAATGACTTATTGCAATCGACCAGTAAATAAACGGCCACAGATATGATAAGAACCTTTTTGTGGACCATATATCCAATTACTCAGCCAACTGTACAATCCACCATCAGAATTTTTTGCTGTTTCTTCAGAATGAGAATGATTACTACCGGTTGTTCGATCAGTATCTGAATCATGACGAAGTGCAGCTGAAATAAACATATTCTAGTCAAAATCTTTGATCAGCATAATGCTTCCAAAAGTAATATATATAACATCTTGCAAATTTAATATGCAAGGAAAGTGTAAACAGAATTGAAGTAATTTCACATCAACACTTTACTGTCCCGAAATTAGACTCACGAAATTCGATGTTTTCAAAGCTTTCGTCATCGGATTGAAATTTGTTTTCGCTGCATGAACGTCGTGCTTCTTTCTCAGCAAGAATTCGCCGAAATACTGTTTCTCGAAATAATTGCAATTCCTAAAAAAAAAGATTTTGTGTAATTTGAATTATTCAAACTGAATTTTATTCAGCAATGTTTACTTCAGTGTTTTCTTACTGCTTGCACCATAACAATAGCTATTTATTACCACACTGGCATATGTGAACTTAACAATTATTAATACGGTAAAATGAAGAAACACTACAAAATGAAAATCGGAACTGCATTAGAAAATTCGAAACTGACATGGTAGGTGTAATTGGAATCTCTTTCGATTTGTTTCATCAAAATTAAATCCTCGGAGTTTGTAGTTTTTCTTAAAGAAGCACTAGTCGATAAATTTGAACTTGTAGCGGTTCTCGCTTCTTCCAACGGTTCTATATCACAGTTTTGGCCGGAAACACTTCCAGAATGTGACGTCTCATATTTTTCGTTAAATTTATTTGATTGACCGGTGACCTGAGAAAAATATTTTCAAATTAAATTGCTTGCAAAATTATTTTAGATTAGATTTCAAGCCAATTCTATGATTCAAACATTAAATTTGAGAAAAGCATGGCCATGAAAAATTAATTCTACATAAGCTCTGAATACAATGATGTGACAAAAAGTATACGCAAACATACGGAAACTGCAGCTGTCTCCAAGTGAGATAATAATCTCCGTCGATAAGCTCGACAATATGAGTTCAATTGCACCGCACGGTTATAAGCAAAACTCCAAGTGTGTCTTGTCTTTCGTTGCCTTTCTTGGTCCTGTATACGGTTGTATGCAAAATTCCACCACTCTTTTGCACTACAAAAATATCCCTGTGAAGGTGAAGGCTTTGGCTTTTTTGATGCACATAACAGATGTCCTTATTTCCCTCCTTACCTTTGTTTCTCAGCACTATACTTATGAAAAGTGTGATATTACAACAAGTTTTGTTTTATTGTAAATACTATACATACTTACTTTTCACCAACAGTAGTCAACGGTCGCCATTTTCGATGTTGTCTTGATCTATCAAATCGAGCCCATTCTTTCCCCAATGAACCCATTTCCAAGAGTTGCTGTTTCGTCAGTTCAATTACAACCTTCTCAGGACACAAATTAAACTGCAAAAAAATATAATAAAATACAATAATTAACATTCTTTCGGCCTCCTGTACTAAAAAAGTCAGCCAATCAATATGAAAATAGTTCACTTTCAAATAATCACATTTTTAAGCGATAGATTTCCCGATGATTATTTAACCCTCTATTAAAAAAAAGTACAAAAAGCTTTAAATGTGCTTCAGCACAACGAGGCAAAATAAAATCTAAAATAAGTTAACTTCATTAACAGTTTATACCAATGATAAACCCACATTATTTACATCATTCAAACAAAAAGTTTGAGAACTTACTTTAAACCTTGGAATGTAGGGATATGTTTTCAAAGGAAATTTGTTTGTATTTCTTTCCATATATAAGTGTCCGCTGAATGGTTGAAGGATCCACATATTATCTCTGCTAATTTCTGGTGCCATTATATACTTAAATAAACTGTGCAATAAAATCTTTAAAAATTTGATTCTAATGAATTATGATCGTACACTGTCTTTCACCAAATATGGCTAGAATTAATTCTTTAAAGCAAAAGAAAAAAAATAAAAAATTCAACCTGCAAATCTATGTGGCTTTTGATTTCTTCAGAAACTTGCTGTCCACAATTCCAGTAAAGCGACAAACCATCTATTTCTAATTTTTTAAACATATTCACACCATCTTGCGGCTGCATGTATCCAATTCTCTAAAAATGCTAATTTTGATTTGCATCATGCGTAATCCAAAACATATACCTTATTCAAATTCAAGCGCCACTAAAAATTAGTAACTTTTTGATGACCATTTAGAGACTGACGTGAAGCGGTCATCAAAAATTTTAAAAAGTGATGACAAAGAAACGGTAATCTTGATGTAATACAATGAATGACAGCAATGACTACATAAAATAGTGACGGTAGTGTTCAATTCTTCAACTTTTTAAAATTTTTGATGACTATTTCAAGTCTGACTCAAAACCCGTCTCATATTTAAGTAACAAATCCTTTTTGAAAGCATTAAATGGAAGAGAGAAAATCAATGATGTTTCAAAATCATCGTTCAAATATTTACAAGTACCATTACTAACATAATACAAACTATGAGGGACTTGCAAAAAAGTTGCAAAACCATAAGAACAACAGAGAAAAAATAATTATTTACGTTATGTTAAAATAACATACCCAATGTGAATCTGTAGTTTGCATGCTGACATTATGTATGCGCATACCACATGCAAATGGTGCATTGTTCGGTAACGTAATATCATCTTCATATCGTATATGAACATTAGTTAGAACTAACTGCAAATTAAAAAAAATGAGCAAAACACGACCAACTGTTTTCGATTTTTTTGTCTTGGATCCATTGCAGTAAAATCAATCCTAGGCAACAAAAATCCATTATGACATTATAATTACATACGCGACAACTATTACCTCTAAATTTCAGAAGCTTAGAGCTATGAAACTGAAAAAGATGGGTCGCATGATCGAATATAACTAGAGTTTATGGAAAACTTTCTAAAATACCTGAATATTGTTAACGATGGTTGATACCAACGAAGTTCCCCACCAATTCTGCTCCGACGCACTGTCACGGTTAGGCAAACCCCAATAACTCAGCAATTGTCTCTGCAAATAATCCTATTAAAAAATCTTCGCTCTCCATTTTGAGGTTCTGGTTTAAAAAAACTTTTCAAATTAAACTAATTTCATCGATATCAGGAAAAAATATATAAATTAAAATGAATTCTTAACATTATGTTCAGCTACAATATAATATGACTTCATCACTGATACTCTTGCCCTGGTAAGAATTCTCTGGCTCATTAATGGTGCTATAATTCGTAATTTTTTAAAATCCTTATGTTGTGGTGTCTTTGTGCCATTGAAAATTACAGCTTTTGATTTTGCAATTCTTAGTAATTTTTAACTTTTTTTATACATTTTATCAAGAAAATCATTTCTCGAATTTGGTTCCTAGATCGATTAAATTCCTCTTTTGCTTATTATTACCTTTATTTCCACATACTTGCATACAAATTCTCTTTTCTTCTATAAGTGAATCTTTCAATATTTTTTGATAATTCATCTATTAATAATAATCCATTTTCTTAACACTTATCATCCACATCCAACTTCTTAACATTCACTAAAACTTCTAAGTGTCTTTACACGAGCGTTTCACCCCTATCATAGATTGAGAACACTTCTTAATTATCTAAGATGAGTTCAATGCTTAAGTCAGCATTTCACTGTTCGACTGAAATCGGAGAGTGATTTGAAAGCTTTCCAATTAAACAAAGATTGAACATACACCTCGATTTTTTTCCATTTTCGGGATGTGAACTGGTTTACAATTTTCTCATGTTCGAAGTGATATTCAAAGGTTGAAATTCAATCGAAATGAAATTTCTCGACAAAAATTCGGTTCTTTATTAATCTATTCCAATTCCAAATATTCATTCAAACGTTAGCAGTTTAAAAATTATAATTCTTGATTAAGAAAATATAGAAGCAAAAGTAGAGAAAAATAGATTCAAACCTTATGATATTTTTCTAGATCCTCCAGCTGCTGCTCCTTTTTAGCTTGCTCGTATATTTCTACATTCTCAACGTCGTATCGAACCGATGATAATGGCTCCAAAAGTACCAATAAATCGCTCATTTTGATAATCCATGGCTCGCTTCGCAGCCGCGTTAATGGTACTGATAGTGTAAGTTTCCCAAGCAAGCCAGATTTTACCTCAAATGCAGATTTCATCTCAAATGCTGTTGGGAAACTTCGCACTAACATTGCAATTTTAGATGGAATCTTAAACTAACATTGCAATTTTAGATGGAATCTTAAACTAATCAGGACAGTTGAGAAATGAGGTGAAATTTAAAAGCATAAGTCCGTCTGTATAGATACCACTATTCTTAGTAGTGAGAGTAGTAACTAATTTAGAATGTACTCATATCTTTAAGAAAAGTGTCGAACAAAATAGGTTATGGAACACAGAAATCAATAACATCAAGTTCCATCGATAGGAAATCGATGTCAGAAACGCCTTTTGAATATTTCGTGCTTTAAAAATCAACTGAGTTCAAAGGTTAGTAAAGTTTTGGTTACCTTTAATGGAACATCAAATTTGCGCAAAGCCGATTCCTTCAATGGAACATTTTCTAATTCAACCTGCCCTGAAAATCTGCCATTCCTTCAAATTAAATATTTGAAATTCCAATTGTTTTGAAAAAAGCTCAATATATGGTTAAGAACAAAATTATTCAGTTTTTTCAAAGCTACTGAGTATGTCATTACTTGAAAATATGGAAATTTGAAAAGCAATAAAAATGATGAAATGATGATATCGAAGTAGTAACACACCTTGCAGTAATGCTATGCTTAACTGGTCGGTATTCAAATTCTCTAAATATTCTCCTACATAATTGTTAAGAACCCAAGCGACCAGATGTTCCAACATTTCTTCTTCACAAATCAATCCTTGCGTTTTTTCCTGAAAAGAGACATAATTTAGCATTGGACGGAATTCATTTTAAAAGGCACAGAAGAGCTTCATTTCTTGTCTGATTTTCGGAATATATGCGGAAATAAGCGAAAATCGTACTCATGCTGCATCAAGTAGAATAGCGCGTTGCGACTGTAAAAAGAACAAAGCAACTGGTTTCAATTCAACTACTTGAAAAAAGTGAAAAAAAGCGGCGACAGTTTACTTATTTAAATTGATAACAACTTTTTTCTTTGTGAATCAATTTAAGCACTGATGATGCTTCGAAAAATTGTGGAAATTGGAAACAATCTGAAAGACATCTGGAAATGATTAAATAATAAAAAAAACCCCAAAAGGATACGAATATCCGTGATGGCAATTGGAGACCATACGAGTTTGACGTGGATCGCTACGAAATTGTCAGTACCATGTAGTTCTTCTGATTTGCGCATATGAACGCTGAGGATTTGGTATCATAAAGTACATACTTATGACGAATATCCAGACTTCAGTATCCTAACATTACAGAAATGTTCATACCTTATATTGTGATATTGTTTGGTCGGAATCGCACTCTACTTTTTTGTTTTATTCCAGATTGTGAAGCGTAAAAGGTATATTAGGTCCGAAATGATTGATAAACGTATAAAGTCACATTTTTCAGACGATGGCATTGGCTAAGTATGTCATGACCATGTGTCACAAATATAACCTTTTCAAAAGGAAGCGAAATTTCTAGCAAATTATTTTGTGATGGATAGAATGATATGTGCTGATAAACATACTATTACATTTATTCAACGATTTTCGTTAAAAATATAATACATATTTCACGTCTATTAACATCATTTTGAGCTCCATCATTGCTTTTATCATTGATAAGCCAATTAATTTGTACATTGTCCACCTGAAATAGAATAATTTCGATAAAATTAAATAATTAGCACTCTTTATGTTACATTAATTAATGTAAACGCTATGTATCATTTGCATTGTTAAATTCTTCTCTTTTACACTTCGCTAGTGATTTGTTCACTTATTGTTTATTTTATTTTAGCATAATGAAATCACATTAGATAGCAAATTTGAGAGATTTTTTTTGAAGTGAAAATTGATTTTTGCAATATCACAACATATTTGATTCCGAGAATCATCAACGAACGCACAATGCGATATTGGTTTAAAAAGGCCAGAGTTTTAAAAATGAAAAGTGCAATAAACTGAAGTGGGAAATTGGCCAGTTAAGAGAACTGTCACTAGCATTGATTTATCTTACGCTACGCAAGAAGTTGCCGAAGATAAAATTGATCATTCTATAGTTATTTGACATTTTAATCAAATTAAAAAGATCGAAAGCTCAATAAATGCTTGCTAATCGTTAATCGAAGAAATCTTATTTGAAAGTATATCATTCATTATACTACGCAACAAAAATGAGCCATTTCTTGATACAGCCTTCTGAATCATTTCGACTAAGAACTATTTGCAGGAAATATATTGATAACTTCAATTCTTACAGTGATTCAAATAAACAAATTGAATTGCGAAATTAGTACCCGAACCGCCATATTTACATGGTCTTTCGTTGAATAACTATCATTCCTATCATTTCAACTATTTTTTGCAAGCAGATGATTCAGCAAATTTCGAAACATAGAAGTCCGTTTACTATTACTGTAACACGATTTTTGTGTTACAGTAATAAACGGACTTACTTTTATTAAAAAAAATTGTTAATTGCAATAAATCACAATTTAATTAACAAATGAGTATTTCATTCTATATTAATTTGAAAATTGATAATAAAAAACTCAATATTTTGCATCAATATAATAGTTTTTGCATATAATTAAATGAATGTCGTCGACACACAAATTAGAATCTGTTGCTAATTAGCTCCAGGTAACTTACATATCTTCCTTTACATATTGTAAGATCGTTAGCTATGCTTCTTATTTTTTATTTTCCCTTTCGATAGTCCAAAGGAAAAACTATGCTTTTTACTTTCTCATAGTTTCCCTTTTTACTTATTCATTTACTTTCATATATTTCACATAGTTTTTTTAAGAAAATAATAAGACATGCCTGGGGATATTCTTCAAGTATGGAAACACCTTGCTCATAGTAGTATGTTTTGCCTTCCTTAAGTGGACATGTCAGGTTACCACCTTTACATGGGTCTTTTTGCTCTAAATTGAATGATACAATGACGCCACCAGCAATTTTTGCCCGCACTGTAGTTTCAAGAGTCTCCGTTGTTCTTGCTGAAATATGTTGACAGAAAATTTAAACGATGATATAGTTATATTACTTGTAATTTATGAATGCATTCATTAAAAGCAAATTTGATATTCTTTATAGAATAATTAACTGCTAAATATAATATTTGATTCAATTTTATGCTGCACATCTTAATTATACATGTGTAAGAATGAATATCTAATAGCAATAATTAAATATATCTTAGATTTCATGGTTGCATTTTAAAAATATCACTTCAATTTTCTGTATTTCAAAAATTCGAGTGAATTTCAAATAAAATAATCATCGATAAGTTATTGCTGTAATGTGTGAAGAAAGTAATAATAATTAATAATAATAGGTTAAATTTGGTTCAGATAGCTCATTTTGTTTATAGTAAATATTTTTGGGTCTTTAATTTGTTATACAAACAGTTATTGAATTAGATTTTAAATTCGACTTTTCTATCAAAAAGTTATTGAAACTAATTCTGTACACGAAAAATTAGTAGAAACTCTCACTGGGTACGAATTCAATCCGTAAATGTGGTGTAGTACCCCTTCTGAAAGCACAATGACGCTGCGGTGTGTCCACACATCCATTCACTTCCACATTTTTGATGTTAAATAATGATTCTAAAAAGATAAGAAGTTTAAGAAATAAGCCGATGTTTATCCTACGACCAAAATAACCTATTAATTAAGGGCTCAATTGAAAGAACTAAAGATTGCTGCGGAGTAATGTGATGTAATTCATGTATTTGTACTAATAAATTTCAAATTTATCATATAGCCTTGTTTTCTGTTATCAGACAATTGGCAATTAACGTAAAGCATTTGTTCTGTAAACACTGAAATTAACTCTCACTCTATCAAATCTTCAGAAATTACAACTTCAAAGATCAATAATAGCATGATAGCTTACTGCAATTTTTGAATTTAATTTTCTGGAATTCTGCGTGTACAGAAAACGAAATGAATAAGAGCAAAAATATAGTTGCTGGAAATCCTGCTGTCATTATCCTAAAAATTGAAAAAATTTCTTGAATCCATCATTTCGTTCTTTATTATAGTAATCAATAAAGAATATTTTTATAACTGATGAAGTTATAATCAAGAAACAGAAAAATAAAAGAGATTAACTATTTTTGAAGCACAGAAACTGCTCTGAATTAAAATTCTGTATAGATGTAAGAAATTAAAGAGAATTTGTCGAAAGAAAATGAAAGGATCGGAAATAAATTAGTAACTAAAAATGACAAATGATTTTCCTCCTCACAATTCAACTTTCTTACACCCGTTAAGATTGCTTTACATACTTCATCTATCCTTGAATGTCTTTAAAAAAAATCATTAAAATTTTTAAACTAATTAACATGAGCTTCAAATAATAGATTCAGCATTTCAATTGTTCAATTGAAATCGGTAAATGATTTTAAAAGGTTCATAAAGTGAAACAGGTATTGCGCATGATGTTTTCATGCATTCCTTTTCGCTATTTGTTTTTTTCATGTTCAAGGAAATCAATTGTTTTATAATTTTCTTATATTTGCAATGATACTTTGATATGTTTAAACTTTAGTCGAAATAAAACTTTGTCAATAACAACTTTAAACTTATATTATTGATTAAAATATATGCAATATACATTTTAATCTGATGAATTACAAAAAATCAAAACAATGTTATTGTTTCCTTATTCAAGAAAAAAAAAATAAATAAATTCCTCGCAAATCTTATAAACTCTTTACAACGATTACTTCTCAACATTTTTACATCACAAAACAACGAATAGCTCAACTGATAGATATATTATGTTACACTTTTATGCCCATAAATAAAAAGCATTCTTGTTCATTAATCCTTGCATTGTTAATTAATAAAGGTGAAAATTTCATATCAACAAAAAAACTCTCATGCAATTGGTGAAAATGAAAAGTAAAATGTATCCAATAGATGCACTCAGAGAAGATGAAAAGCATTGTCAATAGATTTCGGCTGAGTTTTAAAATATTTCATTAATTTATCATTGCTTTAAGATGTATGCCAACAGCCTTCAGCAAATGTATAGCTAACCATCAAAGGTTGATGAAACAAATTTTAATCTATGAACTCTTTTTTCCACTTTTCAAAATTTTTTTTTTAAATATCACAACTGAATAATATCATATATTATCGTATAAGAATCAGAAGTATGCGGTATCATATCATAAGATTTCCTATCTATTTCACCATATTATAAAATAAACGATCCTTCTATATATCAGCATTAATTGATTTAATGATATAAAACTTAGCCAATTTTATTTTAACTGCTTATTTCTGTAAATGCACTATGGTTTATAATTGTGCAATTAATTGCACAAAGTTAACCTTACAAAATGGAAATGTAATTTCCTACCCTCTGATCACTATTTGTAGTTGACAGTTCGAGAATGTTAGCTTGGGAAGAGTTTTTCTTGATAGACCGAGAAGAAGCTAGTTAGAGATAATTAGTTGATATTTCTAACTGATAGCATCGTATCAATGATAGATAAATTATATTTCTTCCGGTGGACAAAGTTGTTGCACACAAAAGCTGCGATAAATAAAGTTTATGGAGTAGTTGTGGGTGGTTAACGATTAAAAAGTAGGAATTGGTAAACTTGGAGTACGGGTTTGCAGATGTTGTTGTTCGTGTTGTCCGCATACACTAATTGTTATTCCTTTCAGATTTTCAATTTATTATAGATTCATATTTCGAACAGTGTATATTTACGTCGTATGGCCAAGTATTGTTTAAGTAAGCGTTTCCAGTTTCGTCAAATTAATTCATATTTATGTGTTTGGCATTCGTTTATATGTGTTTTTCTTTTCATCTTTGCAGAAAAACCAAGTAAGCGGCAAGCATGTGCGAAACGTTATAAAATAGCGAAGAAAGTCAGGGAGCATAATAGAAAACTTAAGAAAGAGGCGAAGAAAAACAGTAATATTTCCACTTTCTTTTTTTCTATAGTTTTTTAATTTTCAGTATTTGAAAGGTCATATCAATGTTGCTTCCTATGTTTTTAATGAAATACTATAAGTTGCTCACTCCCTAAAATTTTTTAGGAAGTTTTTTCAATTTTCAAAAATTGAAAGATTGTTATCATGAGAATTATGAATATTTTTAGAGGTGAAAGTATGGAATGCTAAAAACAAGCCAATAAATGTGCCAAACAAATGCCCATTCAAGGAAGAAATATTGTTGCAATCAGAGAAAGAACGAGAACGCATTGAGCATGAGAAATTTGAGAAGAAAAAAGCTGCAAAGCAGAAGCATCCCGATGCCACAAGGGTTGGCGCGAAACGCAAATGTATATCAGATAACTTGGGAACGCTGGCTTTGAAGGTTATAGAACAAATCGCTTTGGATCTATTTTTCTAAATATATACTATCTTTTATTAATCCTATTTGTACATCAAGAAAGCAAATTATGATAAGGAAAGCTTGAAGTGAAAATGCTGTTGTCGATTTTAACTACATAGTCGTAAGTTGCAGTGAAACTTTTTTCAGTGATATCTAATTTGATTTATATCTTCCCGCGGTGTACATTCGTTTGTCATCCAGATAGGAATATTTACTTTCTGCTCAAATATAATGAACTTATGATATATTTCTTCTGCATTAAAATTTTGCATTTTGAAGGCAGAAAGAATGTCACAACCTTCTGAAAATCAAAATGTGGGAAATTTGGAGGAAGTGCGCAAGAATATACAGAAACAATATGCTAATGAAGTTCGGAAAACTGTGGAATCTGCAGACATTGTTATTGAGGTCTCTTGCAGTCTAGATAATATGAAAGAATGCACAATATATACCTGGAAGTTCCTAGAAGGATAAATGATCGAATAATATAGTAGACCAGCATTTTTATAGTGAAATGGTTTATTTGTTGATATAATGAATTTTTAAAAGTGCGACGTCACAGTAACATCTAATATGTTCTTTGAATGATCGAGTAGCACCGTAATTAAACTTTGAAGTATCAGACAGCAATTTTTGAAAATTATGACCTCAGAAAACAAGCATAGTTTTTCCAGGTGCTTGATGCTCGAGATCCGTTAGGGAGTAGAAGTAGAATTGTCGAAGAAAGTGTTTTAAATGCAGGAAAGCGACTCGTTTTGCTCCTAAATAAGATTGATCTTGTACCGAAGGAAAATGTGAAGAAATGGCTCATGTTTTTGCGCCAACAATCGCCAACTATAGCTTTTAAAGCTTCAACTCAGAAACAGACTCGTGACCTGGTAACCTTCTTCCTAAAAAATCGTCGAATTCTTTGCTTCAGAAAGAAATAAAGCAAATCTGATTTATGAATTAATATTTAATCGATACAAGTTGAAAACTAATTTACTTAATCATAATCGTTTTCAGCAAAAATGATATGCATCGTTTTTTTCAGGGACGTTTCAGTTTATCAAATTTGCATTTTTCAACTTCAAAATGTGTCGGAGCAGATCTTGTGATGAAGCTTTTGTTAAATTATTGCAGAAATAAGAACATCAAGACATCGATTCGGGTAGGAGTAGTAGGTAGGTATACGTAGTGTGGTTGATAATCAATGATAGTCTAATTTGTGAAGGTCTTATTCACATTTTAATTTTAATGGTTAATATAGGAAACATCTTACTAAAAATTAGTGCTGGTTGTGTTCATTGTACGTTTGTTTCGATAAGAAATTTTATGGCGAAAAGTTCGAATAGAGTCGGGAAACATAGCATACTTTTATCTTTGTTGGAGAACATTTTTAACACTTTTTCTTGCATGTTTGGTGACCTTAGGTATTCAGCGGAGAAACAGCTATGGAAAAGGTGGGTACTTTGGTTCAAGTCAATATTCTATGAACTGTTATTCTATTAGGATCCCAAATAGTTGTTTTCTTAAAATGTTGGGAAGAACTGAAGGCTTAAATAGTTTCTTCTCTTTCAGCCAGAATTAATATAGTTTTTAAGGTTATCCCAATGTCGGTAAAAGTAGTTTTATCAACAGCTTGAAGAGAAAGCGGGTTTGTGACGTTGGTGCTACACCAGGAATCACGAGGTACTTAGAAATCTTGACTAATATTTTTAGTTCATTTTACATTGGACATCAAGTAAAATGATATTTTACAGATTTTTGTTGTGTACTTCTATTTACTATCATAGACAGTATATGCGTAGATAATCGATTGTCACTTTTCCAAAAATATTTCCAGACATGTGCAAGAAGTATATCTGGACAAGTATATCCGATTATTGGATTCTCCCGGTGTAATATTAGAACCAAAAGGTCGTTTGGACAGTAGTGAAATTGCTTTAAAAAATGCAATACGAGTGGAAAGTATAGCTGATCCCACAGCTCCAGTACAAGCCATTTTAAAGCGATGTTCTCGAGATAGTGTTAGTCTTGTAATGTGTTTTTTACAGGCGATGTTTTTATATCTTAATTGTTTCAGGACATGAAGAAAAAAATTTTTTAATGTGAGGAACTTAATTTGTTTTGAAAAAATTCATGTCTTATTTGCAGTTGATTCTTCACTACGAAATACCAGAATTCAAAACTTGTGATGAATTCTTAGCCTATATTGCTCGAAAGGGGGGTCGACTGAAGAAAGGTGGACGACCCGATTTGAATGCTGCAGCTCGAAAGGCTCGTTTTGAGGCTTGAGTTAGGATGTGATCTAGAAATTTCAGTTTTAATTTTCGAATATAGGACCGTGGCTTAAATTTTTATTTTTTTCAGGTATTGATCGACTGGAATTGCGGAAGATTGCGGTACTTTACAGAACCGCCAGAGATCATGGTGGACTGCAGTCCCAATTTATGTTCCGCAGAACTGTTAAGTGACATGTCGAAAGAATTTGATTTGGATGCACTAGATGATGAGCAGAATGTCTTGGTGGAAGGTAAGCTTCCAACTACATTTTTTGCCAGCACTAAATCATTCATTTGAAATGTGAATTATGTGTTACATAAATTCAAAACATGTTATGAAAACATGTTTTCACAAAATACATAAATTAAGGACTGCCGACTGGGAGCGCGATGAAAGTAGCGGTGAAATATGACTTAGCAGCAATAGCAGAAAGAGAAGAAGGAATTAATGATGAAACGCAAATGGAAGTTGGAAACGTTTCAGGGGAGACTGTTATTTATCATGAAGAGAAGGTAAATGTACTTTGTTGTTCGATTTGAACAGTTGCTAAATGTACTTTTTTTCTATAAACTCTTGATTGGGAAATCTAATATTTATGCAGGACTACATATTAAGGTTTCGACATTATGTAGAGATGACAAAGTCTCATCTAATAGTTCTCGTCTAATTTTTTCTCTTTTCCGCGAATTTGATTTCTTGTTTGTTATTTCTTGTTGTTTATTATGAACGTTTTACATTTTAATCAGCTATAGATGTCACTATTTTGTTATTTCAGAAGAACGTACGAGATGATATAGTGATGAATGAAAGTAGTTTTCTGGATTCCTTTAACATCGATGGAAACTCTCGAATAAATTATGCAATTAAGTTAGCAGTGAAGAAACATAAAAAGAAGAACAAGAAACTTCGTAAGTTCTTAAAAATAATGATAGTGAGGAGGAATTCAGGAGTGTAGTGTGGAATGGTTCGTTTCTTATGACTCTTTAATGCCTTTTAACAAATCTTAGTATAAAAACTGAAAATGGCCTTTTTTCAGATAAGCGTACTGAAGAAATAATTAATACAATGACTTCAACATCACTCACCGACAAACAAGAAGACTATGATTTTGGTATAATGAATGAGGGATAAATTCAACTTTGTTTATTTCGATTGTTGTTTTCGTTGAATGTTTCATTAAATAAAAGTTAGTGTTACTGTTTTCTCCTCATGTAAGAAAAAGAAAAAGCATTTGAAAGGCAACTTGTCGTAATATTTATGTAGGCAATGTGCACGACTTGTCATGATGTGTTGTTGCTTCAAGTAAGACAAGCGTGTTTTCTCATTACATTAAAATGAAAACCTTGCTCATAGTTCAATTACAGCGTAACATTTATTCCATTAAAAAAGAAAATATATTTCGTGGATGCTTGATTTGAAAAGATCTTTCGCTAAAGATAGACTTGAAATAAACATTTATGGTACCATGATCATATATAATAAAAAAAAAGAAAAAATAAAGACATATAATAAGGGTTCCTGCAGAGGGAGAACGGTGAAAAAATATTATGTGGTAGTGGGGGAGGATTTGGCTTGAAATTTATGGTCAGTTCAGGTGTATGTATAACGAAGATGAAAGCATTTATATGATCATTTTAGTTTAATTTCGATTCAGTGGATTTGTCAAATTCAATTTTTATTTCACAATAAAAACTCAGAGCTAACCTAGAGCTATTCGAAGATAGTCACTTTCGGTAAAAAATTACGGACTGGTTTTCTTGTGAGCAGGGATTGTTTGATGTAGATATCGTGAAGCAAGAGTAACAACTTGAGGCAATCATAATTGCTAAAATTGTCAAACTGTCAAACGAACACCAGAATCAACTCTCACTCCTCGATAACAATCCTTACCGTTCTCTCTGAGAGGGCAATGCACACTTCCTATTAGTGACATTTCTTTGAAGCTGGAGAACAATTGCATTGCTGGGCCGTATAATAATATCTTATAATCGCAAAAGGTGGATCTAGGTGATTGATTCTTTCTGGCGGTTTTTGGTGACAAGAGAAACTTAGTGGGCGATATTGTGCTGTCTTCGAAATCATGTACAATGCAATGAAAATTTAAAATCAATCAATTTGGTTGGGGGAAGGTTTATGTGGACAGCCGTTAGCATCTGAAAAGTATAATATACGCATAGTATTAATGAAAACCGTAGAGGTAGCTCATAACTGTATGACAGTATTTTTTTTTCGAATTTTCAATACGGCTTGTTCATCATAAATAGCTTATTTTAGGAAATGTGTTAAGCAAAAAAAATCAAACATACAAGGAACATTGAGAATGCAAGGGCAAGATCACATCGGTATTTGACAGTGTTGCTGTAATTTTGATTAGAGGAGACAAAAGGAAAAAGATATTTTTTGTGTGCTCACTTCCTTTTATTTATCCTTTCGGAAGTTTTCAGTAATTCTTGCGAAGTCTGTATTTTCGAAATGATCATACTGTCTCAAGATCAGCGAAGCAAATTGTTAAGATTATAGATTTTGTCGGACGCTCTACACTTCTCTTTTGACTGCGAGAAACGAATTGTGTCTTTATTTACCGTTCTTTTTGGGATTCGTTCTTCTAAATCTTTTTTTAATTGATTTATTTCTATAGTAATGGTTAAGTTCTTGTAATTTATAAGGAAGTTTACTCTTGAGATTCTCATATCACTAAAAATGATTTGGGATTTGATACTACCGTCTGCGATTACTGTTTTGCTATCTAGAAAGACGCTATCTCTTTCTCATTTTAGAGATGGTGAAAAAATTGCAAGAGAGTGCCAAACAACCAGTACGTCAATCTCATCGAACTCGCATTTTAAATACTCGTTTGGGTACACCACCAAAAATCCTGATAGATATGCTTAAGGATCATTCTTCATCTATAGTTGAAAAGTCACTTCCGGCAGTAGTAAACATGAAAAGAATAGGTAAGTGTAATGTACTGAGTGTTAGGTTACTTTTTCTGGAAAAATTTATCAATTATGTTTTGGCCTTTTTTTAGAAAAATTTCAAATGTTGGCTTGTAAGACCGGACATAATGTCATTTCAGTTAATGGATCAAAGCAGAATAAAAGATGTTTAATACAGCGTTGTTTTCAGAAAATGTTTCGCAAGAGGCATCAAGAATTCCGCGTAGGCAAAATATCAAGTTATCAGACACTACCACCCAATTATCAGGTGCTAGGTCTCATCGACAACACAATCCAAGCAAACGGTATACTGCATCATTTGAGGAAATGCTTGAACCTGGGCATTTTTCGAAAAGCGTTTCAAATGGTTGGTGATTATCAAATATCTGGGCTTTATTGTTGCACTATAAAACTAGAAGATATAGTCGATCTCACTAATGCCTACTCTTTATAACTGTTATAGTAAGCGTTTCTCCCGACATTCAAGCGTACATTTCCGTATAGCTAGGATTTCTTGTGTTTTTGTGGTTGAGCTTACTTGACTATATTTGTGGCTGAGCTTATTTGAATTCACTTATTTGACTTTATTTAAGCTGAACTTATTTGGCACTATTTTTGAGAAAAAGGAAAAATGAACGTTTTGAAAGTTATAATACTTTTCAAGTTTTGGTTAACTGAGTGCTATGTTGTTCAACTTGCTTGCATATATAACAATTTTTTGCAATTTTTCCCACTTTTAGAAACGGTGGCATTTGTCTTAAATGAATCGAGGAAGCTCGAGGCTCCTCGAAGCTCCAAAAATGAATCAATGCATATTTTAAGTAAGGCATTAGACAGCACTTCTTCGAGAACTCGACATTCTTCTCGCACTCGTGTCCCGAATTCGCGCTTTGGCTATTTACTACCTGGTTTTTTGGGGCAACCAGGAAATGAAAAAAGAAGAGATAACAAGAAAACAAATAATGAAAGTAAGAAATACAGTGTATTTCAAGATTTTCATGTTAATGCTTTTACAATATGTTTTACAGTTTCTTATTTCTTTTTAAACTATTCATTAAACTCTACATCTACATAGGGACCATCATATTCTTCTGTTGAGATAGAAAAGTGCTTTTTCAAGCCTTGAGTAGCGATTTGGAAATTTTTGAAGTGCTTCAGTGTCGAAAGATTTGGTGTTTTGTAAAAAGTGGTTGTGTAGAATATTTTTAGCGCAGTAGAACATCCTGAGTTCAGCAATGTTCTAGAAGTTAATTCACGTTCAGTTTCATGGTTATTTAGACAGAAAAGTGGACATATTGCCGTTGATACCAGGGGAAGAAAAAATTGTTTCATACAGTCCGAAGATAATATGTGGCAAATCTGACATGACAATCAGGCCACGCCATTCTGAACGACAGCGCATTCCGAGCAAACGTCTTAGTTTTCCAGATGTTTGCCCTATCATCACAGCACAGAAAAAATCCGCTAAAGCAAGTTAGTTTTCTCTTTATTATTATATAATTATGCTTATTCATGTTTGGTTTTATTGTAATGTTTTCAAAAAATTGACACAGATCCAAATTTAACTTGCAATTTGATCGAAAATTTCAAGATTTATACGAAACAGATAAATATTTTATTCGGTTTCATGCAAACGCCTCTTCATCAGCAATATGACTGTTGCTTGTCTATGAGTATATAATTTTTAAATCTAGAAGAATTTTGGTACTTCTGGGCTTAAAAATCGAAAGATTTGTGTTGAATTAGTTGTCTGATCTCTCTTTTTTTGCTTGCAATTCCTTTTTCATTGACCACCAAATAAAAAAATTGAAGAGGAAACTTAACTTTATCGAATTCAGAAGGATAAAGTTTTTTCATTTTGCTACTCTTCTTGTCATCGGAATGTGTGATTATTCTGCTGCTTTTTTTGCCATCGACATATGTTTCAAAGCCAAACATTCATAAATAGTGTGTTTGATAAACTCTTAAGGGTATGAATTTTTTAGGAATCACAAATAAAAACTAATTTATAAAACTGGCAGAAAACATAAAATCTGAAGTTTTCTTCAGCAAAAAGTTGATGTAGTTAACTGTTTCACTTCTTTTTAGTCTTTTCCATCTTTTTCTGCTTCACTCTTCGACTTTGAATGTTTCTAAATCTTCACTTATCCCAATTTCTTAAAAATTCATGTATGCAATCTGTCTTACGAAATCATCCTTTTATATTCTGACCAATATGGGTTACTTTCAATTTAAATCAGGAAAGTTTTTGAATAAAATAAATCATATGTGTTAGTAGTGAATTTAAAATTGTGCTGGAAGTCTATGAGCCAGGTTTTTTTGAAACTATTATGTATCACTTGTGCAAACTGCAGCTGTTAATTGTTTCAGGACCGAAAATCAAAGAGGCACATGTTAAAGTTCATAAACGTAGGAATTCCAATAAGAAACCAGTAAGCATTCTGAAAACCCAATTAAGCATAAAAGCTGCATCAAAAAATTTGTCTCTGTCGTCCATCGCTAGTAATCGTCAGGTCCACAGCAGCTTAGAAGTCCCGTCGATATTATATCCGTACAGGCCCGCAAGAAGTCAAGCCCTCTGCGTAGAGCCATCTTCATCAATGACCAAAGACTATATCAGTAAAAAGGATATTGAGGAACTGATAGTTGAAATAAATAAAGCTTTAACTCGCGCTATTGATGAAGATTATAGCGAATTGCGTGAAAAGATCGGTCATCATCTAAACAGTCTTCATCGGGAAAACTGCCGTTTTCGTCAAGCTCTACATCAATTAAGATCCGAACTAGATGGTTTATCAAGCAATTCAACAATAAACCATTACAATATGCTCATAAAACAGAACAGGAAGTTGCGCGAGCAGAAAGTCCTTGCCGATATCAAATGCGAAGCGCAAACGGAGGAAGTGCGTAAATTGTTAGGGAGAATCAGAGTGCTAGAAACGCGAAATAGAAGTCTGGAAGACTTCAGGAGTCGATTAATAGAACAAAAGAAGCAGCAACATTTGAATGGTGGAACAAAATATTCGCATACTGGTTTGATGAATGATTTGTCCAAGATGGAAACCCAGAACCTAACGGATGCTGAATTAGATTCGTTGATTTTGAATGGAATTGATGATGGAGTTATGAAGGGTGATAAATCCAATCATGATGAAGTGGAATGGGGTAACGATTCGTGGATGTTGCATTGTTGATAAATGTTACAAAGTTGCTATGTTACATTTATCTGGATATGCTTTACTTGTGGATTGACTAGAACGTACATATGTTTGCTGTAGCATTCATCAGCTGCATAATTTAATAAAACTAAGCATTTTATTCTTCTGATGTCATCTTTTGTATGATTAGATGATTAAAACCTCTGGAGGGGCTTATATATAATTTCTAAAAAAAAGTTGATTGTATCATCTTTTCATGTTCATTACTTCACGAAAGCAGCCATAATTTTTTCAGGAATATTTTCTATATTTTCAGAAACAAAACAATGATCAATATTTTCGTTTTTAGGGATATTATGTTTTAAAAACATACGTATGATATTTCAGAATTGTCATCCATAATTTTATTGTCATCCATAATTGTCATCCATAATTTTAACAATTAGCATCCATTTATTTATTGGTTGTGTCTATATTCCTTAAATCTTTCTAAGTCACATATTGCTGATGATTGTAATTAAAAATGTAATGAAAAAAGAAAAAATCTCTCAAGTGCACTTAAATGTATTACAATGTTTATAAGCACTTGTGGATAAAATTCCTGAATGGATATATCCATAATAAGTAAAGTAGACTATAAATGCACATGAAACACCTAATAATGATGATTAAGTTGTTAAAATGAGTAATATAAACATTTTAGGATTAAGTTCATGAAGTGGTTTTGTTGTTTAACTTTTCTTTACAGTAATAAATTCGAAGAGATTTCACTGAAATCAAATTTGGGAAAGGGATTTGTTTATAATTTATATTTTTTTCACTTGGTCTTATTTCATCTGTATAGTTGGCGCTTTTCTCTGAAGTGATCGGTGGAAATATATAACTTTTTCCCAAACACGAAGTGGATATAATTATACTTTGTTTTCAGCGTAGTAATCTGTCTTACCTTCATTTCTGCTGGTACCGTGATTCCCATACCCTCTCTCCGATAGCTCGGTATTTATTTGCTATGTGTCGCAAAAGGCATATGATCTAGTTTATGCTTGGACCTGCAGTGTATTAAGTAAATCTAAGAGCTTGAGCTTGGATGAGATACTTACTGCTTAGAAAGTCTAAGCAGTCTAACAAAGTCTAAGATCTAAGAAACTTGAAAGTGAACATTGCATGATTTGCTGTATTGATGAATATGTCGCATTAATGGAAGGGTTTATTGATAACAAATCGATGAGAACGGAATTACAACACGAAGTGAAAACATAGCATCCGATGATGAACAACAGAATTTAAGGACATTGGAATCCGGGAGAGAAAAGATATGTGAGAAAATAAACACATCAATGAACAGAATCTTGCATGACAGTTATGGAGTTTTCCATAAATTGCGGTATTCCGAAATAATTTCTGGTTTCTGAATTATATAAAAGTTAAAACGGAAGTTACTTGTCAGTGTTGTTTGCAAAGCGATGCATTCAGAGATGTTGAAAAACGAATCCCGGAGGACTCGACACATGGAATAGGGCTATGCCTCAAAACCCAAATAATTTCTGGCCTGTGATACATCTCAAATGTTTCGCCATTCTAATGCATTCGTAATCAAAGGAATTCGGGGAAGATTTTCTCTACTTGAGAAAAAAATCCGGAAAGCCTTCGTAAAACCACTTACTGTGAAAGGCGAACCGAAGAACCCTTTGAAAAGCCAAACAAAGTCGCAAATTGTGATGTTAATTAAGAAATAACGCTGAAATTACATCACAAACTTGTACACGATGATGATCAAAACCTTTAAATGTCTATGGGACGGCTGGGATTGCATCAAATCAATTTTGGTTGACAAAATGGATGATGTCAAACATACTAAGATCCACGACACACGAATTATAAAAAATGTGGAATTAAACTGAGACAGTAGTCAGTCAACAATGGAAAATATTGAAACATGGGCTGACTTAACAATGTCTCGAAATGAATACCTGGAAAACAAATTGTAGAAGTACGGTATAGAACTACATTTCGAGCGAGAAACAACACAGAAAATAAAATATGATCATCTTTAAACAAACGACCAGTTACAATTTACATAAAATAGTACGCAGGGCCATCCTCAAAGTGTAGATAGATGGCCCGTTAACATAAAATAACTCAATACATATCACAATTATGTAGTTACCATGTGATTAAGCTAACTACAAAACCCATACAACCTCATATAAGCTAGGATTTCATCCCCAACACAAAAAAATTATGCTACACTCGACTGCCTGATATAGCCAAATCTTCTCATCTCTATGCAGACAATCTGCGCCTTTGAACTCGGAAGATCTCGAAAAAAGTCCACTCATTAGAGAAATTTTCAATAATTTCAACAATTCTGTTGTGAAACTTCAATAATTTCTCGGTTAAGAACAATGAATTTGTGCAGGATATATTCCTTTTTCACAACAATCAATCCAGGAAACGAACATAGAATAAAACATACTTTCCTGGTAGATGTGAAAAGTATATATCACTAGCGCATGATGTTATTTCTATGATCGAACTTGCAGGTTGCAGAAGACTACAACCAAGATAAAAAAATTATAGCCCAAAATTCTCTTTAGCACATACTTTTCAACCCCTGTAAAAATAAGCATCATACAAATACTTTCAATACCAATTACGATCATCATAAATCACCACTTGAAACACAGTTCACAGCAAAACTCAAACATATATTCCCCGGAAATCAACAGTGGATAACATAGCTACAACCCAGTGATTCTTCCTAATCTAAATCCTCCTACTTACTACTTGGAAAAAATGCAATACATAACAAAATGCATACATGGCAAAACGAAATACATAACAAAATAATCTTTGCAGAGAATCCGTTTGTCCATATGCAAAACAACCATACGTTCTAAATAGGAAGGATATATTTTATAGATGTCCAATTCGTTTTTAGCAACTCATACTTCCAATTTCATCCTTTAACGATTCTTCATTTCACGTTTTATACGTTTTGTTGCCCGTCCGCAGCAGCATCCAACGAAAAACAGTATTAAGATAAAAGCGCCAAAACGTGTAAGCAATGAATTTCGTTGCGGGTGACTTACTACAATGTTCACCACTTCGGCAAATGATTCCGGCAGTGCTATCTGTTGTTCCTATAAAAGCATCTAAGTATCAAATCAAGATCAATCAGCAAAAGTAGGTAGGTTTTTCACACTGCGAACATTTTGTCAGCAACTGATTTCGTGGAAATTCTCTGGTATAACATCAATTCAGAAACATGTCTACTTGAAAACTTGAAATAATTTTTGTTGGCACGACAGGAAATTTTTATAGATCCGTGAATTCTATAAACAAACCCTGTAAGCTTTATTCCATAAATTATTTCTTTCCGTAAGTTTATTTCTGCAAGTTGGTGAAAGCTTTAGGTTTTCACCCTCCAACGAATCCAACAAACATATAATCACTGTAAATATAAAAAAAGCTGTCGGGTAATAATTACAGCAATATATTGAGATGAGGCAAAATCAATGATAAAAAAATTCCAACGAAAACATATCTAACAATTAAAGCCGCTTACATCGACTTTGTCCTGGTGGCACATCGTAGCACAATCGCTGAATGTCATTAGCGCAAGCTTCATGCAGCACCGGATCGAGGTGGATGTCAATTAAGGATTCTTGCAAGCGTCTAGCAATCTGCAATTTCCTACAGATCAAATTAAAAAAACGAATTTATTATGAGGTGATTCTTCAAAGGGAACGTTGTACTGTAAGACTCCGGCAAACTACTTCATCATAAATAAAGCTCATATTTAATAAAACGCAAAACCTGTCGTGTACAATCGGCATCTCTAATGGCACTAAGCCTAAAATCGGCTTTGAGACATTCCAAAACTGAATCAAAAGTTCCACCACGCTTTATAACATCATTAGAGCAGTGCTTTGAAATAGAGTTCTTACAAGCTTTGTACAGTTGTGGATCTAATCGAACATCAAATTCGCTTTCCAAAATAATGTTCGCTATCTGAAATCAGCTTAAAAACTCATTTGAATAAAGTACTTGAAAATTCGATATTTTTGGAAAAAAATTTAGAAATTGAATAAATTCCCAATTTCAATTAAAATTATGTTACTAATTATGAGCAATCTACTTGTCTACTATTGAAGGCCAATATTCAATGCAAGCTGTTACTGCATTAGTTCATCCTAACATCGAATCTTGAACGCGATATACTAATGAAAACGTTGAAATAAAGAAAGGTCATCCTAAGACCTTCAAATAAGATAAGACATATTGTTTATAATGATAGTAAAGACAGGTTTCCTGGACACGCAGGAAGATTAAAAAAAAATGATACGATGTAATGGCCTTCTTCACTAAAAAGCTCATTGGAAAACGACCTCATTCCTGCATTTAGCATTCAGATGTATTGATTTCTGTGGATCGGCATATTGAGAACGCAAACACATGATGAAAACGCCCTCCAGCGTTTTCTTCGCATACTGTGGGTCGTTTATTTTCTTGTAATCATCAGGACAGCTAGAAAGGTTTTTCTGAGAAACAGATTATATATGACAAAAAAGATAAGAAACAGGACATTGAAAAGCTGAAAAAAAATTCGGAAAATTCTAGAACAAAATGGCATCATTCGGCTAAATAAATAATCAAGGAAGAAAGGATTTGAAATCAAAAAATTAAACAGTGAGGAAACTTACTAATGTTCGGCCTCTTCTCTACATGCTTCCAGAAGACCAATATTCAAACGCACATCTTTAGCTTGCTCTCGCATCCTTTCCCACACAATCTCAAAAAATAATTTTCACTCATAGAAATTCAAAATGACATTTCAAATTACTTACTTTTTGGCATTTTGGTGACAAGGAACGTATGATCTTCATATTTTTCAAGCATTCCAGCATCCTGTCACCTCTTTCTGCATGGCAGTATTTGTCTATGTCAGCGCGACAATGATACTGAAAACATAATAAAACAAAAAATGTAGTAAAATTAAATTAAAATAATGCAAACCAATCAAATTTGTGACGAAACTATTTCCTAGTACTCAACCTTAAATGATATAAATTTGACCTGAAGCACATCATCAAACTGATTATCCACTGCTTCGATTTTCTCCCGTGTAAAAATAACTGCTTTACATTCTACGCCTGAAAAGCTGAGCAAATAACGTTTCGCGACAATTAGAGATAGTGGCGGCAAAGTTTATCGATTCCGTTAACAAATTATGTCTTTGCAAAATATTCACATACTGTGAAGCAAATATTGAATTTCCTGAACTTTTAACCTTTACTAACGGTGACCAAAAGCCTCAGAATTCAGTATCCTGTAGGAGCTTATTGGTTACTGCGAATTCAGAAAAACCTATTAGCTTAGAAAAAAACAGTAAGAGCTAGAAAAAGCATGACAAAAACCTAAAACTAAATTATTTTCCCTTAAATAGAAATACAAACGATTAATGATTTCAGTCACAGCAAGAACTACGACAGAGCCTTACCTAATTCATCATATTTTGAACGTAAACATTCAACCACATCTTCAAAATACTTTTCTTGTCGGCAACCAAATCGATCCATTTCCTGACTACATTTCTTCACCAACGCAGGATCAGCATCCAACATATGCGACTTGTCGTCGAACTGCAAGCATCGATAATTATTGTTATTCGCAGGGTTTAAGAAAAAATAAAGAAATCATCTAAATATCCACTTGTCATGCATCTTAATAACAAAAACAAAATCAAAAAAGCATGCAGAATAAAGATAGTAAAAAAGTGAAAACCCCACTTCTCATAAGCAGTGAATATTCAAAAAAGCTTGAGTGCACAAAACTGATTTTTTATGACTTACAAATTAGTGGCATGTCACATTAATTATACTAAAATCTGAAAATTGAGTTGTGATCAAAAAATCGACTCATGAAATACTAAAAAATTATTGAATCATCAAAAAAATCAAGCAATATAAGTCTTTTTAAAAAGCATACGCACGCCCACCGATTTTCCCTTTCAAACAGTTAAATTCAGATAGAAGAAACGCTGAGGCTAAGCATGTAAGTAAAATTGAAAGTGCCGTTTTCTGAAATGTTCAAGGTTCAAAGCACAGAGCAATTAAACACCAGTAACGTGCCTTTATAAACTATAAAACCCGAAAACGCATTCATCAGAAAATTTACAACGAACGCATGGGAATTAATACAAGCAAGAATCAAAACCACTCACATTCACCTGTTCTTGATGAAGATATGCAGCCTTCAAATATTTTTTGCAATCTTTTTCTAGGTCATCTGGTGTTCCAAGCACTTTATGTTCAAACATAATTGTTGATAAACAACGAATTATTTCAGCCCTAAAGAGTTCAATGAAAATGGAGCAATCAACATGCACATATTGATTCGGTGCATTGTATTTCAGCACATTCTATAACCTCTACATACTACTCCATAATCATCATCATCAATAAAATATTTGTGGACGCAAATTCTATCATATAGCACCTTCGTTTCAGAGCAGCAAAAAACTCCTGTATCCTTAATAAAGATGCATTCCCTATCAGATGGATGACTAGTAAAAAATAATAATAATAGGACCCATAAATCGACATACATTGTTTCAGCATGGCACATATGCAAACTCGAAAGGACGAAATTCAAACTATACTTTAAAAGCAGACTGAAAATGTGCATCGAGAATTGAAGAAGCCAAAATTTTTGCTATGAGTGTAAGATCTGAAAATCTTTACTCCATTTAAACAAATTTGTAAAAAAAGGATTACTTATCGGTACTGGCTTCCGTGCAGTATTTCTTAATGTCATTAGAGCAGTATTGTGCGAAACGTTCATCGAATTTGAAGTCGCGTAGAGTAATAAGCTCAAAGTGATTTATATATGAACGACATTTGGAAGTCATTTCTGGTTGGCCTTTGTTATCTAGCAAACATTCTAACACATCGCCATGATCGATCTCCTCGTTAATATATTGCTGAAATATCAAACGCTTTTGACTAAAAAAAATTTCACCACTATGAATTACAACAAATTTACTACAAAATACGAGCTGTGGTTGAGCGTATTATGATTTATTTCTGCTAGATTAATAAAAAAATTAAAAAAAAAATCTTTTTTGTCCCATAAGCATATACGACTTAATTAGCTCACTGCTTTAACATCCATATCTAAATTTCTCTCAATCTTGTAGGCCTTATATATAGAACTCGCGTCAAATTGCTGCTGATTTTGACAACGAATAATAGAAACAACGAGAAAAAAGAACTCGACAATCTCCTTTATCTGTAACTGAAACCTGGCAATATTTCGAGATGACAGGTCTGCAAGCTTTCGTAAGCGCTTGATTCAGAGCAGTATCTTTAGCCATCATTTTCGTATAATCACTTACAGCAGCGGAACATTCGCCGTACTTTTTTATGAACTTATCTTGCTGGAAATATTCTTGTAGACATCTCATTTCCTGAAAAAGAAGGAAGGTATAATAAATCGCATATCTTATTCCTTTTACGGATTTCTAAATCAATAAGCCATCTAATAACGGCTTACAATCACCGGTGATGACCATCAAGACAAACACAACTGTTCCACCATTTAGAAATTCTTCTAGTTATTAGATAATTCCAAGTCAAAAACATACAAGCACCATTGTCACCAATCCTATGATACTAGTGCTGGAGCTGTTCCATCCAACGGAGAGTTGATTAAATTGTTATGGATAATAAAAATAATTAGCAATTTCTAACAATTGCTGTTTGCTACACTATCTTTGCAGTGCTTTTGCTATCAGCAGCCTGCACTTCTAATAGCAACAAAATCCGTATAACATCTGGCAGGTCCAGTTCTCACTTATCTCAACTACCACCAGGCTTTTTTTCAAAAAGGAATTAAGATGCATACCTGAGTGGGTTTCACGTCAGTGGAGCAGTACTCTGATAGAGCCTCCCGACAAGAAGATTCGATATCGGGCATTAAATTTACACGTACTGCACGAGTACGCAAGGCACGACGCACATTTGAGGCACATTCAGGACTGAGCTGTAATAGAAAATTTTTATCTAAATGCACTAATGCACATACTCAAAACTTTTTATAAGCCACAGCTATACAGTGCTAAAGCAAAGAAAAAAGAAAATTTGCCGGATTCTGATCGTTGTAGGCCGCACGATAGAGACATGCAAGTACGATTGGTCCAGGATCTGGTCCATGTTGATTCGGTTGTTGATGCCAATTAGCATTAGCAGAACACCTTGAAATATATTCAAAAAACTAGGCTATAAATCAAGTTTTAAAATAAAAGCTGGTTTTTTTAGGCAAAAATTACTGAAAAATTAGGAATTGGAATTCTAGTTCAAAAGTGTACGACGTAAATATTTAACGTTACTTGGAAACAGCATCTTCATGGCATGCTAAATAAAGTTGTGGATCAAGTGTCCAATCGCGAGAGATAAAGTACTGCACTTCCAAGAGTCGCTGTTCACATTCCTTTGGCATGTCAAAATCCATATGTTTCATCAAACAGCCCAAGGTGTTCGCTTCCGATTGAGCATCCATTGCACATGGACCTGGATAACAACTATTTACGCATAAACGAGATGGTTAAGAGTTCTACTAAAATAAATACTATATGTACTTAACAAAATCTCCTAATATATACATCCTCGATATAATGACGTTTTAACAAAAACTTTACAACAAATAAACATTGCTGATGTTTCTGCCATTCTCTAAAAATCTCCATTTGAATGGGATAATCAGAAGCAACAGCAACATTAAATTTTGTAACACTCATGATTATTCTCCGATTAAAAATGGTATAGTGATTTTGCGGTAATATTGATAAAACATTCAAGCAAAATTTCCTACTGAAAGGTACGTTGAAGTTAGACATATATTAATAAGCTTACCATCGATCAGTCTTTTACAGCTGGCATATAAAACTTCATCCACTTTGTAATTTGAACCAACATCGGCGACCTGCCAACAAATAACTTGGATCAAAATTACTCAACAAATAAGTTAGTAACAGTGATCTAAAATTAATTCATTAATCAGTCGGTTACACTTAAAATAAGAAAAAATATAGAGAGGAAACAACAGTAACCTTCATGACAGTCTGTAAAGCTTGCATGCACTGCGGACCAAGTCTTTGATTTTCATTACGCTCTTGTGCGTGGCTCAATAAGCAGTGCAGAGTTCGACCTTCCGCCTCAATATCACCTTTTGGACTGCAGAACATATCGATTTCCTGCACAAATGAATGGATTATGAGAAGGCTCTCAAAGATTGCAGCCGTCGTAAGGGGTGAAACTAGTGACATTGAGCACATAAGGCAGACTGATGAAGTTTTAAAAGGAATTTACAAGTGCTTTCAAAGAAGTAAAAAACAAAACCCTATACTTACTCTGCCGCAGGTCATAACAACTTCTGGACTTAGTCGAAATTCGCTCATCATCATTTTACGATGTGAAACCATTTCATGTTGACATTTTTCGGATAATTTACCGGGATTTGCATGTGCTGCATTTTCCAGACATAGAAGTACCCAGCTTAGATGGAAATTTGGGGAGCCGGAAAATAATGCTGATGGTGCACACCCGAATTCCTTCATTTCCGTTGCACAACCACCAAGCAATGGATGTGATAACCGATAATTTTGTCCCATCATATTAGCCCGTTCCGCCAAAAGCTTTGAGCACTGTAATAAAACATTTCTACAACATATTAACTCATGAAATGATTTTATTCGAAACGGCTTAACTAATATTATTAAAACGACACAAATTAATAACTAAGCTGACACAAAAATTCATTATTATAGCAAACATTTTATCTCGTCTTTCTGAAAAACAATCAGAGAAACATACTTCTGGCTCCATCATTGCATCTGTTCGATGAGTAAGCAAGCACTCCAATACCTTTCCTTGTCCTGATTGAACAGTTTTGCAAAATTTCTGAAAAAATTATTGCTTCACAGAATACTCTTGAATAATAGAATAATCAAAGTGAAATGGATGAAAATTCGTAAAAAATGAAACAATTTATGTCACCTCTCGATCTTCCCGACATGCAAAATAAAGTGGTCTATCGAGGTGGAAATCCTCCGTTTGTAATTCAGCTATTCGCATGATTTCATGTTGACATGCTTCGTCAACAATTGGCATTGTCTTAGGATCTTTTTGCTGAGCTTGATAAATTTTACTTATCAAACATTCCAATGTATGTCCTGTAAACTATTAATCTAATATGTCGTGAATAAAGAAAAACAAAGATATAATTGCATCTAAAAGAACTTAAACTATTCTTCAACAGTGATGATGACAGGAAGGAAAAGCATACCTTGAGAATGTGGTACCCGAGCTTTAGCATGAGCAGATGGTGGAGTTAATGTTCCACACTGAAGCCTTTTAATTGTATTTTTACACACTGCCACAAACGGACCAACAACACGAAAGTCAGAGAATGCAAGTCTAGCAGAACGATCTAAAATAAAAATATAACGGAATCAGAGGTCTTTAATTTTACCAACACCACATCCGTGGTGTTGATAAAATTGTTTCATCCTCCACCGTTTCATTTCTCACTCAAGAATATATTGAAATGCAAGAAATTAGGAACTTGTCATTGTAAATAGATTGACAAACCTTTGCATTCAAAAGAATACAATAATAAAACTCAACTATAAATTATTTAGCACAAATGATAAAAGTTTTGGCATTATAATAATTAGAGTAAAAAAATTGGCTTCCTGTAGACCAAACAAAAAAAATCAAACTTGCCCAAAAATTGGAAACATCTAGATTCCTTCGGCAAATTTAGTATGAAATCGATGAAACATGAAAGTGCATGACCAGGTTTTATTGCTTCTGCACATTGAGTTAAAGCTGGATTAGCCACTATTTCGTCTTTACAAAAAAGTTTCGATGCTTGCCGAAATTGATCATCCTGAGTCAAATTTACCTGAAATTTCAACTTGATTTGTTAAGTTACAAAAAAAATTTTATGACTGAATAAATAATAAATGCCTTCTTACCATATGTCAATGCTCCAGTATGACGGGTAACAATTTTAGAACCTGTATGAAGATCAAACTTACTTTGAAATCCCAAACCAGATGTTCACATGGAGCAGTAAGAAGTTCCGTTTCGCTTAATTTAACGTCTTGAAGACATTCCAATACCGACATATCGCTTTGGAGTTCCACTCCAGGGCGAAAGCAATATTTATGTACATCTTCCTTACATTCTTCGTAATCTGTCAAATGTTTCCTAGATGTATCCAATCCTTGCTGTTGATCATTCGGTGAATTCACCGGCCTATTAAATTAAAATTAACCGCGAGATTTCATCAATAGATATCGACAACGCGCCTTTGGAATTCATAACCATTTGATAAACGATTTTTTTAAATAGATAATTTGACGTGATTCATGTGGACAGTCAGTCTTGTACAGAGTCAACGAAATCCTCCATATCAGTAAGATAAAAGGGACTTACTAAAGAACGTATCAGAGATGTCCCGCATAAGCAATGAATCCTAACGTCAAATATAAACTTTCAGTACTACGAGTTCTGACATAAAGAATTGAAAAGAGAAACTGATGGAAGCCAAAGCATGAACATACAATTGTTGCAGCACCTGGGGAGCAGTTTGTAATTGTACCGGCGCTTGTGGCCGCACTTGTTGAGGCGCAAGCACTAAAAATATGAAAAATTTAGTAAGAAAATCAATAAGCTGAAAAATTGTATATTTTAGCATTATATAGAAACAATATACCTTGTTGAGGAGCTTGTGCATCAATTTGATTTTCTCGTATCTAAAAAAGAATGAGTAAGTTTTGTATATTCCAAAAATGCTATTGGAAACGAAGAATCCTCCAATGATTGTCTTTCGAAATTCCTAACAGAAAAAAATTGCAATAGAATTCGAAAAAATTCAAATATGTTTTTCTTAACAAAAAATATAGATAGAAGCAACGTCCGTAAGTCAACAATTTTGATTGTTACGTTTATTCCATTCTAACCAGCCTTGATTTTTTCCGTTATCCATATTATTTTTATTTCCGAGTCATCACTGTATATAAAAACGAAGATTGACAACATGCCTGAGTTTACTCACACAGATTACACAACTCACAACAGTTTTCACCACTATCCACAACAGCGTAAGTTTCCTTTCTAGCGCTGCAATTTTTTTACATTCAGAATTCAAAGTTTATTCTGCAACCAACCTGTGCACCGACGTATGAATTCCATTGGATATACAATAAAGCAATACTAAAAAATTGGACCAATAAATTCATCCTGAAATTGAGAAGAATAATGAATTCGCGCTGGAAATAAAAAGGTACGAATGATTTCGTATTTGAAGACATGAGCATAAATACAGCAATTCAAAAACTGATAATTATGGAAAAATCGGGAAAATTTCCAAGATGAAGTCATATAATGCACCCAGAACAAAGGATTAAATTTATCAACTGCGAATAAATCGTTCATTTAAACTGCTAATGGACCTTATGAATTATGAATAAAACACTACGCAATTCAAATAATTAACTTGTATGATAATTTATATATATACACACTCGTTAAGCAAAAGGCGAATTGAAAAAATCGATAGTTGATACTAAGATAAATACGAACTATCATTGTGTTCTAAAGCTAATCAAACTCTGATAATAAACAGCAGAGCATCAAAACATATGAATATACATAATAATTAATTCACAAAATTTAAGAAGTACCACAAGAAAATGAAAAAGAATAAAACTTAGCAAAAATAATGTGTGATAATTTTAATCATTAATTCGTGCTAATAAGCCTGCAAATAAGCCAAACCTTACTATTTGTAATATTTATTGTCCAAGACCTTAGTCTTGATTTTAATGACAGCAAGCAGGAATAACTTCAGTTAAGATCAATCAGTTTTCATTGGAATTCAATTTCTCATGATCTTAACATTTTAAAATTCCGTTTTGCAAAGAAGACACGTCACTGAACTACCTACCAGTTTTTCTTTCAAATATCAGCAAAGTTACAAAAGCTCTAAATGAAAAATGTGAACCAAAATATCAACAATTTTTGGAAAGTAAATTCATTTAAATCGATGTTACAGGTAAAAGAAAGTACTGGCGATTTCATGGAAAAAAAAGGTGTTCCTACACGACAGAAAATATATCTTTTTAAGCATGATTAATAGAATGATCGATGATGATTATTTCTTGTCAACTCATTATTCATTATTTATTTCAATAAATAAATCAAGATAAAAAACCGATATTATTTTAAAGCCTTAATATTCTAAAAACCTAAAAGCATTTAAAAAGCTCTCACAATCTTCAAAAATAATCTAAAAGGAGTTCTTCGAAAAAATGATTAGTAAGAAATTAAGACGAAATTTTGAAATCCTAATGATTAAAATTGGTATGCTGATGTTGCTGCTACCAGTTTCACGAATAGTGGGCGCGAGAAATAGAGCAATACTCGATATTATTTACGTTTTTTCAAGTGATTTCAAGTAATATCCCAGTTTTCGAGAAGATGTAAATTATTTATGAACAGAAAAATATAAGATAATGGCTATGATGATACACAGTGCTATTTATTAAATTATATTTTTGAATAAGCAGCTAGGTACCTGCACATTTTTTCATAACTTATGAAAACGCACTGAAAACAAGTAATAAATCAACGCAAGTATAGCAATAAGCATGCGGTATTTCTTCGCGATAAAAGGAAAAACAAAACCATAAGGACTGAGTGCAGTCCTAGTCCAGCAGCGAATGTGAACAAATAAAAAACCAAAACTGACAGTCGATACTCTACGTGACGGACACATCGAGCAAACTACATCACAAGAATCACTTATTTCACAACACATAGAAAAACTGAAAATATTGAAGCATTTGTGGTGAGTTCAAATATCAATGATTTGCTTGCTTTCTTAACTATGGCACCATTGTAGATTATTACTGACATAGACATCAGAGAAATTTATCACGAAATGAGACATGTGACCGTCGATAACCTTAAAATTAATATTTTTTATTTCATGGTATGTTAACCGATCGATCAGAATCTAGTTCAGATGAAATTTTAAACCTCTATATTCCAACTTGTTGTAAGTTTTAAATAATGTCAAGTTCATGGTGTTATGAAGTTCTCGATTCAGTTATCAATGCTTGGGAAGGTTAGATTGCATCTGAAAGCGATCAAACAATAAAATCAAGGAAATTACAAAAAATCCAATTAAGGATGCTTGAACTATTCTGCCAATAAATAAACATCAATTACGATATACTAGGAAGTATGCCTGCACTTTAAAAATGAGCAAATTTTTAATGCATTCCCCACTTTTCTTTTTTTACTTAAATGAGGCGATTCACGTAAATCATTGATTGGTTTGCCAATCAATTTAAATCATTGATTCAAATTGCCTTATTTAAGTAAAAGAAAGAGAAGTACCAAATTACTTACCCGTTCAATTTGTGGCGAAGAGGCATAAGCTCTTCTGAAGCACTGCTGAATCACTTTTCACATCTGTTCGCATCCAGGACCAATGAATAGAACAAGTTTTATACCATATGTCATAAAATTAACGACATGAAAGCTTAATTAAATTAGCGGAAGATATGAAAGTTTGGAAATTGTCACGAGCTAGATAATTAAGTTCTGCCAAGAAATCACTACTTAAAATATTTAAGCCCAAATGAAGAATAAAAATAACTATCAAATCTCCGGTCGTAATTCTCTATCCTGAAATAGAAATACTTGAAAATGATAATGTAAAATAAGGGAGAGATGGATTTATGCTCGATCTATACTGATTCAATAGCATATAAGTAAAGAATCTCTCTTCCAATACTAAAAATAGCTCATACTTGAACCAATCATAAAAATCAAATCCAATAAATTTTCCTCAAAAAAAAATTGAAAAAACGCTATCAAATGGCTCATTCGTTTAGATAATTGCGGGAGAAATACTTCAAATTTTGAGAATTATATTATAAAATATTAACGAGCGTACGCGGTAATGAAAGTAATTAACTTTGATAAGTGTACGTGAATCACGAGAGTACTAATTTCAGTTAGCACTACAATAAAAAAATGGGACTTGACATACCTATTCCAGCACATCAACCAATTAACCAAACTAGTTTTGTGGAAATTTTAGCTGACGTATGGGAAAGGTTCGTGCAAGATAACAACCTCACTATTACAGCTATTTTTTCGGCTCTGCTAATCCATTAGGAGCGTCAACCAGTGATGCAATAGATTCTGGCACCATTATTCGAATCCATCAATCCTGGTATTTCATGAATAGAACATTACGCAATTCGAATAACTAACTTGTATGATAATTTATGTATATAGGCAAAAGGCAAATTGAAAAAATCGATAGTTGATACCAGGATAAAATAAGGTTATTAACTGAATTAATCATTACATTATGAAGCTAATCAACGTCTGATAATCAACAGCACAGCACTAATCATATGAATATATGTAGTAACCAATTCACAAGATTTAAAACGTCAACCAATGGTGCAATAGATT